ACCCCCATGGCCAATAGAATATACTGTGTTTTCTGATGGTCTTTGGTGACCCCTCTGACACCCCTCACGACCCCCCCAGGGGTCCCGACCCCCAGATTGAGAAACACTGTCTTATAGTAATCGTCACCCAAGCAGTAATCAAGCTAGGCTCTGTTTAGTTCTGAAATCCAGTGAAATCAGATGTTTTTTCGAAGTGGGATGACGTTATAAATTAAGGATAAAAGATATAATGTAATACAATATATTTATTTATTTATTTGCTTTACTTATATACCGCTGTTCTCAGCCCGGGGGCGACTCACAGCGGTGTACAACAGAGGAACAACAACATTCAAGACACAGTATAAAAACAGTCCACAATCCAGCATTATACAAAAACAACATCTACTAAATATAATACTACTACTACTAATATGATATTATAATTATATATTTATATTACATGTAATATTACTAATAATATTACAATATAATGGTATAGTACAATATAGTAATATTTAATACTGATATTGTACTATGCTAATAATATAATATATTGTATGTATATATACCTTGTAAGCTGCTCTGAGTTCCCTTCGGGGTGAGAAGGGCGGCATATAAATGTCATAAATAAATAAATGATTTATCTCAAAACAACCAGGACAGGCTAGTCAATAAACTATTGCCTGCCCTGCACATGTTTTTCCATGGGGGGGGGGGGGGGAAGTAGTTCCATGGTGATTGGACATCCATAGAGATATGACCAGCAGTAAGTCCTATAGACATATTTCCCCCCAATATTTTAARTAAAATTTTAACAGAAAAAAACACACAAATAAGCAAACAACAACAATACATATGCATAAATAAACKCAGATATATCTAACAACAATTGCATATCCAACTACACAACATACATCTCTAATTTCCGTACATACAAATTTAAGATACATACATAAATGGATTATAAAAGTCGGTTTCTTGATATGGTGGAAGGAAAAACATCCCAAATTATAGAGATTGCTATAACCATGGTTGATGGGAAAACATTGCTGGAGATAGAAAATGTGTATGATATTCTTGTATGTGGCAGATTTAACAGTTTTCTGTTCATGTACGTGTCTGAAGAATATCAGGAGAATATTTTACCAGATCCTGCTATTCCTTCAGTTAGCGCAGAATAATATCCATAACTGTTTACTTCCCTGTTTTATCATCTCAACTTCCCTAAATGCCCCTCTATAGTACAATAACGCTTTGATAATATATTCCTGCATGGCAGGGAGTTGAATTGGATGGCACTTGTGGTCTTTTCCAAGTCTAGGAACCTATAATTCGATACATGTGTGCCCAGGGGGTTCCTAAGGTTATCTTCTGACTTCAGCCCTTTGTGCATCATTGGGAATTATCTGGAGATCCCTCTTGAATGTCATGTTTGTAATAGGACTTGAGCAGGTTATGTAGTCAGCAGTGGAAAAGGAATGAAAGGCCAAAAAAGCAAGGTGCTCATGCTGTCCTGCAGTTGATGTCCTATCCATTCCAGAGTTAAGACTTGAACCCAAGGCCAGCTCTCTGTAGGGGAATAGGGTGTGCGCATGTATGTGTGGTGTTTGTTGTGGCTCAGCTGGAGTCTCAGGTAGAAGATGATGGGATTCAGATGCACCAAGGTGTTCCTGTTGTTTCTGAGGAAAATGAGGAGTTTCAGTTTCCCATGGCAAGGAATGTTTCAGATGATGTTTCTGATGTTAGTCAAACTAGCCAGGTGCAGTTGGAGGAGGATGGTTCCCAACCTGACAGTTCTCAGACGGTTAATGAGCTATCCAACCTTGAGAGCTCTGAAGCTCTAGATAGGGAGGATCGTTTACAATTCAAAGTTCGCCGCAGTGCAAGGCTTGCTAATAAGAGGGAGGTTAGGAGTCAACGGAATGCGTTCATGCTGGGAAAGTATATTAAATGGGGTGTTTGAAGACAAATCTTTGTCAGTGCAACTTCTGCTTATAACCTGGTAACTTCTTTGGATTGCCTTGGCTTTTGGGCAATGTTCTTGGCTTCTTGGGACTCTGTCATTGAATCTTGTTTCTACGATGCCTTTTGGATTATGCTTCATGTTATTTGCTATTGAACTTTTGGAACTTTACCTTTGCATTTAAGACTGTTCTTTTCTCCAATAAACTACAAAATCTTCAGCCTTTGTGTGGTTTGGTGTTTTTGAGCAAGGTGACTCTACTCTGAGCAGTGTTTTCCATGGATCCTTGTGATGGCAACCTTGTGTGCATTTGCATAGCATAAGCCCTGAGCAGTTAGTGTTCTTCTACTCAGCCAGCGGCAGTTGAGAAGCTTAACTTGATTTATTATTTAAGGAAACGTTGCAATTCCTTGTTGTCTTCTATGGTATCTTGAAGAGGCTGGGTGGGTTGCCTGAAGGAGCAATGCAGCCACATGGTTTCGCAATCCCTGCAAGCCCAGTGGCTTTGAGCATCCACCTGGTATCTGTTCCAATTCCAAACAGTATTTGATCAGCCTCTGCCTTCCTTTATCCCAGCTAAACTTGGGAAGAAGAAAGTGTGTCCATACGGGGTCTGTCCGTTGTATGGAGACGTGGGGAGCATGGTAATGATTAGCATCATTAAATACAATTGCACTCACTATCTAGCTCTGGGATTTGGTTTTTGTGTGTGCTGGTATGGATTGGAATTAATATTTAATGCCCAAGAAATAGAGTGGAAAACAGACAATGGTTAATAATAGAAGAGAACCTGCACCCTGAGAGAGCACATTTTCTTTAGTGTTTTCTCTTACTCTGTAGGGGTGTGCAGAGCCCCGCTGCCTTTTCAATCTTCTGCTGAGCTAGTGTCTCATAATTGGAGATCTCGCGTACAAAACTCTAGAAATGGCTCCCACGCCAGCTACCCACCAGCATCAAAAATTCCTCTTTAATTACTGAAGCACATGGGACACTTGGAAGCAAGGCTGCAACGCAAGCTGTGCGCGGTTCCTCCCGCAGCCCAAGCCGAGATTAAGAGATGACTCTGCTGAAACTGATTAATTTAGAAGGATGTGGGAAAACATTTGCAGAATACCTTAGCACCATTTAAATGGGGAGGAAATCAAGGTGCAAATCACATTTGGAAGTGTGGTTCTAGCAGTTTGATAGCAGCACCATTGCCCTCAAAACTTATTTGAACAAGGGTTGGGGCTTGCTTCAGATTGAATCAAGGTGAAACTAATCCAGTTTTATTATAGTGACAAGACTACATCTTTACCACCACCTTTTGGTCACACCACTTCTGAGTACTATAGACACCAAGGTTTTCAGGAATAATTTACATTGACAAATTGTTTCAAAGCTATTTTTACTAACAGATTCACACTTAGATCTTGGTTTTCTTACATTACAAGAAAACATGGTGGTTTTTGTTGGGCGAGTGGGTTTATTAACAAAAAAAAAAACCCTCGTCATAAATGTACAGCAGAGTAACTTATCAGCAGCAGCATTACCCAGCAGCCCAAAGTGATAAAAAGAATAAAAACACACAGGCCAATGTTATCTCTTCCATGGGAGAATTTTCTTTGTAGTACAATGATATGGTTGCACTATTTATAAGAATAAGGTTTCCATAACACAAAGAAAAGTCTTTATACTTTCTTCTTTGTTTCCACGCTGGACTTCTTTCTCATGCAGATATACAGCTTCGCTCTCACAGAGCCTCTTCTCACAGCGAAGTTACACAGGAGCTTCACACAGTAGCTTTATACACAGCAGCCTTCGCACTGGAGCTTCACACACGATGGCCTTCAATCCGAGGTTTCTCTCACAGAAGCTTCTCACACCAGGCCTTCCCATACTGAGGCCTACTAACACTGAGGCCTTTCTCCCACTGAGACCTTCTCACACTGAGACCTTCTCATACCGAGGGCTTTCTCCCACTGAGGCCTCTCACAGACTGAGTGCTACTAAACTACAAGCACACCTGCTTATATCAAACTGCAGCTTTTGCTGAGTCATTGTATCCATTTAGCTCTTTTAGTGCTTGACTCACATTATTGTAATTTAAAATTCCTAGTTAATTGTACTTGTCTCTCAGTTAATTGATTCAATTCGATAATTCCCAACAAGCCAACTTTGACTTATGTTGATCCTATGAATGAGAGATTGTCAAGTCATTCTGTTACCAAGAGTCCTTCTCAGTGCTCGCAGACCCAGGGCTGTGGCTTCCCTGAATGTCTCTTTCCATCTGGAATGTGGTCTTCCTCTTTTCCTACTGTTTGTTTTTTTGTGTCAAGAAAAACTTGAGAAACTGCAAGTCGCTTCTGGTGTGAGAGAATTAGCCGTCTGCAAGGACGTTGCCCAGGGGACACCCGGATGTTTTACCATCCTGTGGGAGGCTTCTCTCATGTCCCCGCATGAGAAGCTAGAGCTGACAGACGGGAGCTCATCCCACTCGCCAGATTCGAACCCCCCGACCTTTTGGTCAGCAGTTCTGCTTGCACAAGATTTTAACCCATTGTGTTACCTGGGGCTCATCTTTTCCTATGGCTTTCTTGTCATCTTTTTTTTCGTGTCAGGAGTTACTTGAAAAACTGCAAGTTGCTTTTGGTGTGAGAGAATTGGTCATCTGCAAGGACGTTGCCCAGGGTATGTCCAAATGTTTTTGATGTTGTACCATCCTTGTGGGAGGCTTCTCTCATGTCCCTTCATAGGGAGCTGGAGCTGATCGAGGGAGGTCCACACAGTTGATTGTCCTGAGTTTTGTTGTTGCTGAACACAATTTTTTTATATGGCAGAGCTTTAGCCATGCTCTTTTTTCAAGTTTAGATAGTAATGTTCTCATGTTGTTAGTATGTGCTCCTGGATAACCATCCTGAACGTGAATCCCTTTCTAACTCTGCCAGACTCTCACGGTTGTTTCCACAGGCAAATCCATTCACCTCTGTTTCTCCATTTGTGCGTTGTATGTCCCTAACTCTGCTGGCAATTTAATTTCTCAGTGTTTTCCCCTTTCTTGGATGATTCTTTTCAGAACGCAGCCCTCCAGCACTTATTCATCCGGAAGTCCTTCCGTCCCTTCAAATGCCTGCATTGTGGGAAAGCATTCCGTGATAAGGAGAAGTTAGACCAGCACTTACGGTTCCATGGTCGGGAAGGAAATTGTCCTTTGACCTGTGACATCTGCAACAAAGGCTTCCTGAACAGCAGTTCTCTGGAGAGTCACATGAAATTCCACTTGGACCAGAAGACCTATTCTTGCATTTTCTGTCCCGAGTCCTTTGACCGCTTAGATCTGCTGAAAGATCATGTGGCCATCCATGTTAATGATGGTTGTTTCACTTGCCCTACGTGCAAAAAGCGCTTTCCAGATTTTATCCAGGTGAGTAATTGTTGGATCAAAAGCACTAACTTCCTTCTGCTTCTTTCTCACTTCCAAATTTTGAGAGTCTGAAAATGGTCCAGGGTTAACAAGCTCCCAGATGCAAGGAGAGTGAAATCATTATTTATTTATTAATTTATTTATTTAGAGGTGAAAGAGTTTTATTGCAAAGATTGAGCAGCCTAATTCCTTAACTAGATCAACATGGAGGGGGGCTCTGTGTATACTTTATGTCTTACTCATCTGCAGCGGCAAACTGCCCCTCTCACACGTCTCATGGAATGAAAGTGGCAACTCAGTTTAAACATGTGGCCCTTCTAAATACAGAAAAATACATTCTATTATGTTTTAAAGATGTTTTTAATGTTTTAATTGTATTTTTATGATGTCTACATTGCAAGCAGCGTTGATGCCTATGCGAGGCTGCCCTGAGTCCCCCTTATGGGGAGAAGGGTGGGATAGAAGAATATGAAATAAATAAGTAAGTAAGTAAGTAAGTAAGTAAGTAAATAAATTCAGACTGACAGAGTTTTGGAGCACAATACTCCTAACATGATTGTGGGGAAAAACAAAGTATGGATTGTTGCTGTTGCAATCCCAGGTAACAGCAGAATTGACAAGAAGCAACTGGAAAAGCTGACATGTTATGAGGATTTAAAGATCGAACTGTAAAGACTCTGGCACAAGCCAGTCAATGTGGTCCCAGTGGTGATCGGCACACCAGGTGCAGTGCCTAAAGACCTTGGCCTGCACTTAAAAACAATTGGCGCTGACAAAATTATCATCTGTCAGCTACTCGGATCTGCGCGCATTTTTCACCCATACATCACACAGTCCTAGACACTTTGAAAGTGTCCGATGTGTGATCAAATACAAAAGCCAGCATAGTGATCTTGTTTGCTGTGTACTAATCTTGAGCATCAAATAATAATAATAATGTTATTTATATCCCACCCTATCTCTCCTCGGGGACTCTGGATCTGGACTCTGGATCTGGATAAAGAACCATTCAGATTGCAGCTATGCTTTCTTCTTGTCTCCCAGTAATTTTTAATCAAGTGCTAAAGCATCATTAAAGGATTGTTTGATCTAAAACATGCTTTCTTGAATGCTTCAAGATTTTCTCTTGCAGTCTTGTGGGGAACTAGATTTTATCCCAAGAGAGGAATAAGAGCAAGTTGGTCTCCCACTAGTGATACTAAGTGGAATTACATTTATTTCTTCTGCTCGAGTGGTGACATTTTCTGTTTTCTTCTTGATTCTCCCTGCCAGGTAAAGAAACACGTGCGTAGCTTCCATTCAGAAAAGATTTACCAGTGCACAGAATGTGATAAGGCCTTCTGCCGCCCCGACAAGCTACGGCTCCACATGCTACGGCACTCAGACCGCAAGGATTTCCTGTGCTCAACATGCGGCAAACAGTTCAAGGTAACACAGCTCCCATATCAGACATGTGCTACAAGCACATCTGAGACATCTTTCTTTCTTATCGCCAGGTTTGTCTTCTCAATAACAGGGGCAGTCTGCCAGCACCCACCACTTCATACATACTGTCCAGCTTGCCCATATGCAAGTATGTGGGATGTGTTTGAATGCCAGCTGTTTGTGAGCAAGCAGTTTGTTGTGGAAAACTATGTTTGAAATATTACAGATATATGAGTCAGGCGTGTTTTCCTTTCAAACCAGAGGAAGGCATAAGTCCAGAGCATATTTCTGCCATGCTGTTGCAATTTTTGCTGTGAAATTGGCTTTTTAAAGCAGCACAGAGAAATTGCTGGTCTACACAAGTCCACTTTTGTGCTGGTTCTTTATAGCCTATTTGTAGGGAATGGGGAAGAACTATTTTTAATAAAGCTTTCTTGCCTACTAGCCACAGATGTTGTTGTTGATGATGATGATGTGGGTGTGGATGAATTTTTCTGGCATGAGATTAGACCTATTACTAACACTCCTACTACTACCATTATCATTGCATCAATTGTCAGATCAATTTATCTCTCATAATACTTATTTTTGTAACTCCCTCTGTGTGTATATGTGTATGTGTGTGTGTATTAATCTAAGAGCATGTTCTGAAGTTTAAGAAAAACATCTATTTCTGTTTTATTGACTATTCTAAAGCCTTTGACTGTGTGGATCATAATAAATTATAGCAAGTTCTTGGTGGTATGTGAGACCAAGTCACCTTGTCTGTCTCCTGAGGAATCTGCATAACGACCAAGTAGCAACAGTAGAAATAGACCATGGAACGACAGACTGGAGTACAGCAGGGTTGTAAATTCTCAACTGACCTATTCAACTTGTATGCAGAACACATCATGTGATGTGCGGGGCTTGACGAATGCAAGGCTGGAGTTAAAATTGCTGGAAGAAACATTAATAACATTAACAACTACAGAGATCCCACCAGCTGCTGTTATGTAAATCATAGATTAAACCAGCTTTCAAGTCATGACCCATTGTGGAGGAGGCATTACAAGAAATATTGGCTTTTGGCTGAAACTGAGAAATCCAGGAGAAATAAGAGCTGAATTTTTTTTAGATATGCAGATGATACCACTTTAATGGCTGAAAGCGAGGAGGAGCTGACAAGGAAGAAGAGAGTGTGAAAGCTGGGTTGGAGTTAAACATCAAAAAAACCCCATAATTATAGCAACCAGACTGATTGATAACTGGCAAATAGAGGGAGAAAACTTGGGGGCAGTGACAGACTTTGTATTTCTAGGTGCGAAGATCACTGCAGATGCCGACTGCAGCCAGGAAATCAGAAGACATTTACTTCTTGGAAGGAGAGCAATGACCAATCTCGATAAAATAGTGAAGAACTGTGGTGCTGGAGAACTGTGGTGCTGAGAGTGCCTTGGACCACAAGAAGATCCAACCAGGAAATAATGTCTAACTGCTCACTGGAGAGAAGGATACTAGTGGCAAAGATGAAGTACTTTGGCCACATAATGAGTAGATAGGAAAGTTTGGAGAAAAGACTAATGCTGGGGGAAATGGAAGGAAAAAGGAAGAGGGTCCGACCAAGAGCAAGGTGGATGGATGGTATCCTTGAAATCACTGGCTTTGCTCTGAAGGAGCTGGGGATGGGGATGACTGACAGGGAGCTCTAGCCTGGGCTGGTCCAGGAAGTCACAAAGAGTCTTCTTTAATAATTTTGTCAACCTATCCAGTCAGTTAATTGGATTTTATAGCTTTTATTCAGCAAACAGAACTAACAAAATGACGACTTCTAGGTTTTCTTCACGAGTCCTAAAAATATTAATCCAGGCTCCAAACTGGAATTGCTTACCTTCCACTATGTCTAGTTTTTAACTCGGTGCATTCTTTTTTCTAGCCTTTCAAAGCAGAAGTAGCCAATGTGGTTGATTTTGCTTTTTTTGTCCCGCAACACCTTTCTCCTCCCTGCAGAGAAAAGACAAACTCCGGGAACACATGCAAAGGATGCACAACCCGGAAAGAGAAGCCAAGAAAGCTGACCGGATTACTCGCTCCAAAACGTTCAAGCCTCGGATTGCCTCTACGGATTATGAGAGCTTCATGTTCAAGTGCCGCCTGTGCATGACGGGTTTCCGGAGACGAGGCATGCTGGTCAGTCTATGGATTTTCTATTCCATTTCAGCTAATAGTATTAGATAAGAGGTGCACATGCACATTCAGAACAAGGGCTGTGGAGAAATGGAGACATCAGGAGTGCTCTTTGCAGAAATTCTTTAGGTCATCCTCTTGATTTTTGTCTATATTACCTTAATTATTGCAGCTTTATCTCACCTTCCTTGTAAGAAATGTAGCATACAAGACTTGTTGCTTTGCTGACCTCACAACTGCCAAGTGAAGTTAGTCCAAGTTGACTGTTCCAGGGCTTATTACTCGACCAAGAAGCCAATTGAATAACACTATATCTCATTCATACTTCTTAGGTTTTCAAACCTAGAGCCTATTTGTGTGGATACAATACAGCAGATGACACATAAGCAGCCCTAAACAATTTACGGATACAAGCTTTGCATTTGGGGGGCGGGGAGAGATTTTTACATGTTTTTACCCCTTCCAGATCAATGGGGTTAAGGTACCATTGTTATACACTGCAGACAAGCCAGAGCATTGCAAACACAGCTTGTGTGCATCCATTCTATATTTTTGGCAGGTGCCTGAGGCAGTTGCTGTCATTGCCTCAGCTCATAGTATCCTCTGTTCTACTGCCCACCTGCTTTTGGCAGTTTTGCTGTGGCATAGTGAGTGTAGGAAGAGTTATGACCTGGGCATAAGGCTGAAATGATGGTATGTGATGAATAAATCATTGACCCATTCAAGTCCTGTTTTTGCTGGATTTGCTGCCTCCAGCGGTCCTCTGTATTATTGTTCTAGTCACTTTGATTAACTGTTGATTTAATCCGTCATCCCATCCCAGTCCTTATGCTGGAAGAGGTATAATATCTCCTATGCCTCACAGAGGGCTGGCAGTCTGGAGAACTGCACTGCTCTTCTGAATTCGTTTCCTACCAGAATCCATCACTGAAACATCTAAAGAGCAGTGGGTTGCCCAACCCTTGCATTTATATAGTGGCATCCATATGGTCCAGTTTGTATCATGCATTGAGTACGCTGTGTAACAGCCTTCTAAATCACAATACTACTATTTATATTATATTATTTATTAATTTATTTTATTTACAGTATTTACATTCCACCCTTCTCACCCAAAGGGGACTCAGGGTGGATCACAGAACACATATACAGAAAACATTCAATGCCGTTATACACTGACAAGACAGACAACTGTACATAGATAGAGGTATATTTAGGCTTTCACATCGTTGGCATCTTGGAGGCTGTGCTCGGTTCCAGCTTTCACTCCACTTTCCCTGCCTAAGATAGTTGGTAACCTTCCTCCTTTGATCGAATCACCAGCATTTTCTTATGTGTACCTAAAATACCTTCCCACTTAAGCAGTACCTATTTATCTACTCTCATTGCTGTTTTCAAAACTGCTCGGTAGGCAGAAGCTGGGCTAAAGGCCAGAAACTCACACTAACCCAAGTTTCGAACTGTCAACCTTTCAGTTTACAAGATTTACTGCAGCTGGAGGTCAACCTGCTGTGCTAAAGCCTGGCCCTATTGCTGATCAGGGATCTCCAGGTTCATAGATTATGTAAAAATAAAATCTGAAAATTCTCTTTTGCTTCTCTTTCAGTAGTCAGATCATATAATCTGGTCTAATTTACTAACATGGCTCAGTACTCATTGTTACCTGGTAGTGATTAATAACCATATTAGCAATAAATGTGTCTACCACTTTAAATATATCTGAGTTACTGGGACAGATAAATGCTTAACAATAGTAATACAATTTATAATAATAATAATAATAATAATAATAATAATAATAATAATAATAATACAACAACAACAACAATGCAAAAATACTGTGGGACTTTCAAATCCAGACTGACAAAGTTTTGGAACACAATACACCAGACATCACTATTGTGGAAAAGAAAAAAAGTTTGTATTGTTAATGTCGCTATACCGGGTGACAGTCGCATTGAGGAAAAACAACAGGAAAAACTCAGCCATTATCAAGACCTCAAAATCAAATTGCAAAGGCTCTGGCATAAACCAGTCCAGGTGGTCCCAGTGGTAATCGGCACACTGGGTGCTGTGCCAAAAGATCCCAGTTGGCATTTGGAAACAATAAACATTGACAAAATTACCATCTGTCAACTGCAAAAAGCCACCTTACTTGGATCTGCGCACATCATTCGAAAATACATCACACAGTCCTAGACGCTTGGGAAGTGTTCGACTTGTGATTTTGTGATACAAAATCCAGCATATATATCTCATTTGCTGTGACATACTGTGTTTTTGTGTCAGTAAAATAATAATAATAATAATAATAATAATAATAATAATAATAATAATATATTTTTGTATTTATTATCTGCCTCTCTTTACGGCTAGAGGCAGGGCAAAACACAGTTGAAACACATCATTATAATAAAATACATTCAACAAAAGCATATATTAAAACATTTTTCTATAAAATAAATATATTAAAATGCATTTATTTATTACAGTTATTATCCCACTATTCTTCCAAAAAGGACACTTTTATTCCCATTTTATTCTCACACCAACCTTGTGAGGTAGAACATTATGTCAAGATGTACCATTCATGTGAGGGGTCCCCAAAAATGTTAGCACTGAGGTTCCCCTCTTACCTACAGTCCAAGCAGCCCCTTGTAACATGCATGTCTCTGCTGAGCTCCTCTGTCTCCCTGTCTCCGTGCTTGCTCTGAATCAAAAGCACACTGGACTACTGTCTCCCAGCCAATACAACTCCTGGCGGCTTCCTGTTTATTATTGTTACAACTTATTTACAAACTAGTTACAAGTCAGAGAGTCACAGCAGGAGATCAGTGGTAAAAGAGAAAGTCTGACTGCATGGTCACCACTTTTAAACGACTCCTTGTCTTCAGTCACCACCCACGGATATGATGTTCCTTGACCGGCGGTGCTATCCTGGTGGCCTCTCAGGCCTCTTCACCTTTAGATTACTTGGTGCTGCTGGCCACATGTCTTGAGTATAATTTCTCCTGATTTATATAACTCCACCACTCCATTAATATCTCACCCATCCCTCAGCAAGGATTTGAACCAGGGTCTCCATCGTTGAGCGACATTGGCTCTGTCACAGCCTTTGGCCAACGGAGCAATCTGAAGCAGCCACTTTGCTTCTTGCTGTTGTGCTTTTGAAAAAATAAATGCTCTGCTTTTCCATCTCAGGTGAATCATTTATCAAAGCGACATCCGGACATGAAAATAGAAGAAGTGCCAGAGCTAACGCTGCCCATCATCAAGCCCAACAGAGATTATTTCTGTCAGTACTGTGATAAGGTACGAAAGGAGCCTCCCTGTTTTTCAGTGCATGCCTGGAATCAAATTCTGTCTCTTTCTATGAATGTGTAACAGATCTTGTTAGCTATCCTGCTGAATGCTTTTGTGTTCAATTTTTTTTCCTGCTGTGAAGATCAAAAAATACTTCTACCAATCTAGTTAATGACTTGAGATACACATGAAGAAGAGATGCCTGAGCTGAAAATGGGCACAACTCCTCTAATGCTGAGGAGGGAAGCTGTGTTGGGGCCAATTTTTAGAACTAAAATTGTTTACAATTTCAGTTCAACTGTCTGTGTTCGCCAAAGTAAATCAGTATTCTAGACTGTGCATTTGCATAGCATGATGGATGAAATGATTCCATAAGTAATATGGTAGTCATGGTGGTGTCATGGTTTGCTCACTGGACTACAGTTTTGGAAACCATGGTTCAAATCCTCACTTGGCCATGGAAACCCACTGAGTTGCTTTAGGGTCACCATATGTTGGAAGTCATACAACAATAACAACAACAGCAACCGTACTTATCTGTCTTCACCAGGTACATGATTTTGTATACCTAGAGACAAATGTAGACCGCCTTGAGTTATCTTCAGGCTGAGGAAGGCGGTATATAAATATGATAAATAAATAATAAATAGTAGACATTTATTCTAGCTTCTTGCTAGTCATGTGCATTCAGGACTTACCTTAATCCGTTTCGTGTCCCGGCTTTCGGTGGGGCCCTCGATCCATTTTCATCTGAGCCTCCTGAAATTGGGAGGTCAGATATTTGTTTTTCATTTTCAGGGCCAAAAGATCCATTTTCTTTTCGCCCATTATTGGGGGGGACGGGGACTTCATTATAGGCCCAAAGCGCCGGGGCCTACAGGTGTAGACTTTTGGCCTGTGCACCCGAGCCTGGCAGGGCCTGTAGCTGAGCGCCGAGTGAGGAGCACTCCTAATAATAATAATAATAATAATAATAATAATAATAATAATCTTTATTTATACCCTGCCACCATCTCCCCAAGGGGACTCGGGGCGGCTTACATGAGACCAAGCCCAATAATACAATACATCAGTATAAACCAGCACAACAATAATATAAAACAAAAAAATAAAAATACTCGGCGCTCAGCTGCAGACCCTGCCAGACCCCATGCAATTGATCTGAAAAGCAGGCTTGGAGATGGTACCCACTCCCGCTTGCCTTTCGTATCAATTACATTTTTCGTTCCAGGAATGGCCTTTCTGTTTTGTGCCACCCAAATGGACGGAACGAAATAGAAACATGAATCAAACAATGGGATAAATTTAGAGCCCATGACTACTTCTTGCCATCTCCCTCAACAACTGAAGTTTTAAAACCTGTATGTATGGGATTAAGAATAGTGCACCTATTGCTGAAATGCCATTTAAATGCTCTTCAGACTAAGCAGTGCTGTTTCTCAGAGACAGATTGGATTAAGATAAAAAGTTTCCAGAGCAGTGCTTAGTGTTGCTTTTTCACGGTCGGATTCTTCATCTCACAGGTTTACAAGAGTGCCAGCAAGCGCAAAGCCCACATTCTGAAAAATCACCCGGGAGCTGAGCTTCCTCCAAGCATCCGGAAGCTGCGTCCTGCTGGCCCCGGAGAGCCAGATCCTATGCTGAGTACCCACACCCAGCTGACAGGAACAATTGCAACGCCACCCGTCTGCTGTCCTCACTGTGCAAAACAGTACAGCAGTAAGGTATCCAGGCTCATCACTTACCTCTTTATCTGTTTTATGGCTATTTGTAACCACAGCCATTTTAATCTATACAGATAATATATTGTATTGTACCTTTATTGTCCTTTTTTGAGAGTATACTATCATCTTATAGGTAAGCGTTATGTACTTTTTATGTACAGTGCTGAATATCTATATATCTGTAGTTATTTATTTATTGTGTCATCAGCAACCATACCATTGTATTACAATTCTAACAGAGCAAAACAAACACACAGATTAAAAAGAAAACACACACACACACACACACACAGATTTTGCAAATTTGGTAGTTGGTTAAATGTCCTTTGACCAGTATCTGGCCACTTGGAGTGCCTCTGGTGTTGCCGCAAGAAGGTCCTCCATTGTGCATGTGGCAGGGCTCAGGGTGCATTGCAGCAGGTGGTCAGTGGTTTGTTCTTCTCCGCACTCGCATGCCGAGGATTCCACCCTGTAGCCCCATTTCTTAAGATTGGCTCTGCATCTCGTGGTGCCAGAGCGCAGTCTGTTCAGCGCCTTCCAAGTCACCCAGTCTTCTGAGTGCTCAGGGGGGAGTCTCTCATCTGGTATCACCCATGGATTGAGGTGCTGGGTTTGGGCCTGCCACTTTTGGACTCTCACTTGCTGGGGTGTTCCAGCGAGTGTCTCTGTAGATCTTAGAAAACTATGTCTTGATTTAAGTCGTTGACGTGCTGGCTGATACCCAAACAGGGGATGAGCTGGAGATGTCTCTGCCTTGGTCCTTTCACTATTGGCTGCTACTTCCCGGCGGATGTCAGGTGGTGCAATTGTCAGGTGGTGCTAGGCAGTGTAATTTCTCCAGTGGTGTGGGGTGGAGACACCCTGTGATAATGCGGCATGTCTCATTAAGAGCCACATCTACTGTTTTAGCGTGGTGAGATGTGTTCCACACTGGGCATGCATACTCAGCAGCAGAGTAGCATAGTGCGAGGGCAGATGTCTTCACTGTGTCTGGTTGTGATCCCCAGGTTGTGCCAGTCAGCTTTCGTATGATGTTGTTTCTAGCGCCCACTTTTTGCTTGATGTTCAGACAGTGTTTCTTGTAGGTCAGAGCATGGTCCAGAGTGACTCCCAGGTATTTGGGTGTGTTGCAATGCTCCAGTGGGATTCCTTCCCAGGTAATCCTCAGAGCTTGGGATACTTGTCTGTTCTTAAGGTAAAAGGCGCATGTCTGTGTTTTAGATGGATTAGGGATCAGTTGGTTTTCCCTGTAATAGGCAGTAAGAGCACCTAGAGCTTCGGAGAGCTTTTGTTCTGCCATCTCAAAGCTCCCTGCTTGAGTGGTAATGGCACGATCATCAGCATAGATAAAACTCTCTGTCCCTTCTGGCAGTGGCTGGTCATCAGCTTCAACTATCTGTAGTTGAAGAATAATATTCTAAGGCTCGGACCGCTTTAGCAGTTAACTCTGCATTTTGTTTTTACAAGGACCAATTGTACCGCTATAGAGACAAGGTTCTTGCTTGTCTTTGATGATGCTTACTTGGAAGTAAGTTCCACTTCATTCTGTGGAGCTTAATCCCGAAGTAAGTATGAGTAAGACTGCAGACTTTAACCAGAGAAATACATAGCCACGTTATTTTGAACTGTGCAAATATATAATTTGGAAGAAATGTGGCAGACATTGCTTTGTGTGTAAAAGAGGAGATTTTGAAGGCACCAGATTTGGGAAACCGGCTGCAGATGTTTACTAGGGCTCAAACTCGTAAAAGGAGTCTTCAACATTTGAGCAGAATCCAATCTGCTGTTGTCACTAAAAGGCAAAGCGTTCACCACCAAGGCAAGTTTAGCAGCATATTGCCAGGCTGTTGCGGATATTGTGCAGTTGGGAGTTTGATGCCCGGGGTTCAGGCACAGTGAATTGTTTCATTGACTTAAATGTATCTTCTGGAAAGCTAAAGCAATAGAGCCTTTCAGCATGTTAAAGTCAAGCAAGTTTAATTCTGCGGACAGCAGTGATATCTATATATATAAAATCCGAAGTGGCGTCGTATGAGGAAGCAAAACTCAAAAACCCCCCAACAGAAATTAACCAAAATTCCCATGCACATACCTCAACCCACTAGGTACAAACAAACCCAATCAAAATCAAAAACAACACAACACCACACTCACAAAACGGCAAAACAACTGAGCATGCGCATTGGCACCCAGCCGCAAGTTCCCTGGCACGCGCACATGGCCTGGCGGCCAATGTTCCCTCCGCGCAAGCCACGCCCCCATCCTCACGCCGCGCCGCTTCCCGCCCTGTCAAAACCATCGCAACTCACCCTCCTTCATCTTACCCTGCTCACGCCGCCACACACACACACTCACGCCGGTAAGACACGCCCCCTCCCTCCCTCCCTTCCCCCCACCCCTTCCCTCCCTGTCTCACTCTTTCCCTCCTCCCACCCTCCGCCGGTAAGACACGCCCCCTTCCTTTCCCCCCACCCCTTCCCTCCCTGACTCACTCCTCCCCGTCGCAAACACACACACACACACACACACAACGCTCCTTCACTCCTCCCCCCGCCGCCCACACACACCTTCCGCCACACACACACACATTCACGCCAGTAAGACATGCCCCCTTCCTTCCGGCACACACACACACACCCTCACCCCCCCCCACCCCCCGCGCGGCACACACACACACAGGCTCCCTCACTACCTGTTGGGAAAGCAGCAGCAATGGCAGCAGCAACGGAGCATCCACGCAAGGAAGAAGGGGAGGGGGGGAGGGGGAGGAGGAAGGTCCACGATGCTTGAATGAAGGACCTTCCTTCTCTCCCTCCCTTCCCTTCTTTCCTCCCTTTCTTTCCTTTTCTTCCTTCCTTCTCCTTCCTTTCCTTCTTTCCCTCTTCCCTTCCTTCCTGTCCATCCTTCCTTTCCTTCTTTTCCTCCCTCCCTCCCTTTCCTCCTTCTTTCCCTTGCTTCATTTCCATCCCTCCCTCCTTTCTTCCCCTCCTTCCTTCCTTCTCCTCCTTCCCTCCCTCCCCTTTTCCTTCCTTCCTGTCCCTCCTTCCTTCTTCCTTTCCTTCTTTTCCTCCCTCCTTTTCCTCCTTTCCCTTTCTTCATTTCCTTCCCCTTCATTTCCTTCCCTCCCTCCTTTCTTCACCCCCCTCCTTTCTTTCCCTCCTTTCTCCCTCCCTTCCTGTCCCTCCTTTTTCCCTTCCTTCCCTTCTTTCCCTCCCTCGCTTTTTCCTTCCTTCCTGTCCCTCCTTCCTTCTTCATTTCCTTCTTTTCCTCCCTCCCTTTCCTCCTTCTTTCCCTTTCATTTCCTTCCACCCTTATTTCCTTCCCTCCCTCCTTTCTTCATCCCCCTCCTTCCTTCCACCTTCCTTCTCCTCCCTCCCCTTCATGTCCCTCCTTTTTCCCCCTTCCTTCCCTTCTTTCCCCCCTCCTTTTTTCCTTCCTTCCTGTCCCTCCTTCCTTTCCTCCTTCTTTCCCATTCTTCATTTCCTTCCCCTTCATTTCCTTATTAAATGGAAGGGACAGTCAAGAAGTAATGAGAGGAGGGAAAAAGGGAAGGAAGAAAGGAGACAAGCAGGGAGGAAAGAAACAGGTAGAGATGGAAGAAAGATGAGACATAGGGAAAGAAAAAGAAGAAAGGAAGGAAAGAGAGAAAGAAGGAGAGAAAGAGGGAGGGAAGGTTGGCCACAGCAACGCGTGGCAGGGCACAGCTAGTATTCTAATATATGTACAACTATTGCTGTATTGTATATTTATTGTATATATATATGGTGAAATGGTAAAGGTAAAGATTTTCCCCTGAGATTAAGTCCAGTTGTGTCCGACTCTGGGAGTTGGTGCTCATCTCCATTTCTAAGCCAAAGAGCCGGTGTTGCCTATAGACACCTCCAAGGTCATGTGGCTGGCATGACTGCATGGAGTGCCATTACCTTCCCGCCAGAGTGGTACCTATTGATCTACTCACATTTGCCTGTTTTCAAAATGCTAGGTTGGCAGAAGCTGGGGCTAACAGAAGGAGATCACGCCACTCCCTGAATTTGAATCTGTGACATTTCGGTCAGCAGCTCAGCACTTTAAGCTACTGCACCACTGGGGGCTCCATATATGGTGAAATAGTTGTATTATATCTCTGTATATTATAGTATAGTATATATATCTACCAACTGAGGTTATACTCAATGCATCTGATGTAACAGGCCTCATTCTATGAAAGCTTACAGCAAAGAAAGTTGATATTTTATTGTACCAACAGCTGTTGTTGATCCTGCATCTGATAGTTAATAGCTATGCCCCTTCCATAAACTTTTTGCAGGGAAAGCTGATGTTCTCACCATTCTGTAACTTTCTTTTTTCCCATTTCTCCCCAGACCAAAATGGTGCAACATATCCGCAAAAAACACCCGGAGATTGCGCGACTGCCAGCTGACATTATACACGTGCCCTTGACCACAGCTGTCATCAGTGCCACCCCTGCAGTCTTAACGGCCGACAGCACTTCTGGGGAAACCGTTGTGGTAAGAAAGCATGTCCACTAAAGAAGTGGGTTTGTCACAGAACCCAAAACTTATGGTTGACTTCAAAACAACAGGCCATGGTTTCCTGTTATTATGGTTAGTTAAATCAAAGCTTGACCTTGCCACCTGTCTATCAAGTGTTACAGCAACACAATTCCCCATAACTCTGGCTCCTGATGGAGTTGATGGCAATCAGAATCCAAAACTATCTAGAAGCCTTTAAATTTCCAATTCCTGTGTCAAAGTCTCTCCTTGTTCTGTTCCAGTGGCCACAAAAAACAAGGAAGTTTTTTTTCCCATTGCTTTATTTCGGTGCTGGAGCAGAAATAAAGCAATCCTGGTCATCAGGAGGATTAATAGAAAAAATGGTTCTTTGAGAGGCAATTTAAAAAAAAAAAACCATTGCCCTTGTTTTGGGTTTGTCCCACGAGTCTATTGAAGTAATTTTGTTTAGTAAGTTCCATTTTGTAGTTCACCTGACTTGCAAGATACTGTATATACTCAAGTATAAGCCTAGTTTTTCAGTCTTTTTTTTAGGCTGAAAAAGTCTCCCTCGGCTTATACTCGAGTCAAGGTTTTCCATTATTTTACTCTATTATTATTATTATTATTATTATTATTATTATTATTATTACATTAATCATTTTACTCTATTATTATTACATTTATTATTTTATTCTTTATTATTGTTATTATTACATTTATTATTTTTCTCTATTATTATTGGAAGGATATATAAACACACAATGAAGAAAGTTCAAATAATGCTTTAATCAGAGGACAGTCTTATCTTAACTTACAGTTTTATTCAAAAACATTTAACCTACCGATGCCTCAATTAATGCAATTTTATTGGTATCTATTTTTATTTTGGAATCTACCAATAGCTGCTGCATTTCCCACCCTCGGCTTATATTCGAGTCAATCCGTTTTCCCAGTTTTTTTGTGGTAAAATTAGGTGCCTCAGCTAATATTCGGGTCGGCTTATACTCGAGTATATACGGTAAATGGTCTCTACTTTTGGGTAGAGAGTAGGACTCAATCATAATGTGTATGTTTAGTTCTCTGCTTCATTGTTTTGTATTGCTCTATTTTCAAGTATGTCGCAACATCTCTCTGCTTTTTTGTCTTCAGACCACAGATTTACTGACTCAGGCCATGACGGAACTCTCACAGACACTGACCACTGACTACAGAACCCCACAGGGAGAATTCCAGCGCATTCAGTACATTCCTGTCTCGCAGTCCCCAGCTGGCTTGCAGCAGCCCCAACACATACAGTTGCAGGTTGTGCAAGTGGCTCAAGTGAGTCTTTTTTTTTTTTTTTGGTTTTTTGTTTCCTTTCCTGCCATAATGGAAGCCCGAACTGTGTCTCGTGGGGTCTTGATAATAGTGTTAATGACAATAGCATGAAGATGGCATGAGCCAGCATGGTGTAGCAGTTGGATATTAAATTACAACTCTTTATTTTATTTATCGTGTCAGGAGCAAACCAAACAGTTGTACTGCATTTTTAACAAAAAACAAAAACAAAAACAAAAAAAACAAAACACAAAGGTTGCAGGCTTGGTAGTTGATTAAATGTCCTTTGACCAGTAGCTGGACACTTGTAGTGCCTCTTGTGTTACTGTAAGAAGGTCCTCCATTGTGCATGTGGCAGGGCTCAGGTTGCATTGCAGCAGGTGGTCTGTAGTTTGTTCTTCTCCACACTCGCATGTCGTGGATTCCACTTTGTAGCCCCATTTCTTAAGGTTGGCTCTGCATCTTGTGGTGCCAGAGCCCAGTCTGTTCAGCGCCTTCCAAGTCGCCCAGTTTTTCAGTATTTTTATGAGTGATGGTCATTCATTGGCCTGATAGGTGTATTGTGTCCAAATTTGGTGTCAATTCGTCGAGTGGTTTTTGAGTTATGTTAATCCCACAAAGGAACATTACATTTTTATTTATATAGACTAGCTGTACCTGCCACACATTGCTGTGGCAAACCTTCCCTCCCTCTTTCTCCTCCTTCTTTCTTTCACTCCTTCCTTCCCTCCCTCCCTCTTTCCTTCCTTCCCTCTTTTTCTTTCTCTTCTTCTTTCTTCCTTCTCTACCTGTTTCTTTTCTCACTTCCTTTGCTCTTTGGTTCCATCCTTCCTTGTCTCTTTCCTTCCTTCCCTCTTTCTCTCTTTTGTTCCTTCTCTCCTTCCCTCCCTCTTTCACTTTTTTATTTCCTTCTCTCCTTCCTTCTCTACCTTTCTTTCCTTCTTTCTTCCTTCCCTCTTCTCTACCTTTTTTCTTTCCTTCTCTCTTTTTCGCTTTCTCTCCCTCCTTCTCTCCTTTCTTCTCTATCTTTCTTTCCTTCTTTCTCTCCTTCCCTCCTTCTTTCCTTTTTTCTCCCTCTTCTCCTACCTTCTCTCCTTCCTTCTCTACCCTTCTTTCTTTCCTTCTCTCTCCTTCCCTCCTTCTTTCTCTTTCTCTCTCTCCTTTTCTCCTTCTTTCTCTTTTTCTCCCTCCTTCTCTCCTTCCTTCCTTTTCTTCTTTCTTTCCTTCTTCTCTTCCTTCCTTCCTTCCTTCCTTCCTTCCTTCCTTCCTTCCTTCCTTCCTTCCTTCCTTCCTTCCCCCTTTCTGTGTATGTGTTTTTGTGTGTATATGCATATATGTGTGTGTTTGTGTGTGTGTGTATATATATATATGTATGTGTGTGTGTGGTTTTGCACATGCGTTGTAAATTTTTGGGTGGGGGGGGGTTACGTCCCTTCTGCTATGTTTTTCAGTGTTTTTATGAGCGATGGTCACTCATTGGCCTGATAGGCGTATTGTGTCCAAATTTGGTGTCAATTCATCCAGTGGTTTTTGAGTTATGTTAATCCCACAAATGAACATTACATTTTTATTTATATAGATTAAAAAGTTCTCATTAAATGGATATCTGAGATCTTGTTAATCTTTAAATCATCAGTTCCTAACCCTGTGCGTAGATATGAGAATGAATGGGTGGTGTTTTTTTGGAAAACATATAATCTTTATATATTTATTTATGTCTAACTAGTGAAACAGTGCTACCTTTCCGTCAGTGCAAGCAGTGATTGAGACATATTCTTCCCATCTCGCATTTCCTTTGTCATCATATTGCTTAAATTAATTAGGCTGTTTAGCAAGTATGAACTTAGAAATATATTCTTTCGCCTCCTCCGGGTATAAGATTCTGCAGCTAATCATAATGTTGGAACATGAAAGGTATTAAAATACATGAATGCAGTGAGATAATTGCTTCTGGCTGTTCGTAATTACTTTGTTAGCCTTAAGTGGAGATTTTCTTTGATTCTTTTTTTCCAAGATGTGTTTACTCATCAACAGTCTTCTCCTGATATTCTAGAGTTGACTTATTACTACTTGACATTCATATTATGCTGGCGCTTAGAGGCACTCTTCGCTGTCCTAACCTTGCCTGATACATTAAGGAAACATAACCGCTACTTCCCCAGGGTTGCGTCACACACTCCTCCTATAATGCATGAATAAGATGTCACAGAAGAACAGGGGCAGCTCTTTCGTTAAACAACCTAAAGTAATGTGCTTTAGGTGCAAATTCTAGGATACTATGAAATGCTAGTAGATTCTCCCAGTTGGAGAGTTACATCTTTGTAAGCGATCTTATCTCTGGGGGAATTAGAATCAGAACATTCTGTAATGTTTGCGTCCTATGGAGTGCTGTTACATTTATTAAGCAGCAGAGATGTTAGGAATTGTAGGAATTGAAGTCCAAAACAGCTGGACGGTCAAAATTTATCCATACCTGGTTTATATTCCACCTGAACATTAGGAAGAACTTCCTGACTATACAAGCTGTTCATCAGCGGAACTCTCTGCCTTGGAGTGTGGTGGAAGCTGCTCTGAGATCAGAGTGAAGAGAGGGGCCAGGAAGGCAGTTCCATCTTGTCTCCTGCACTGTGCTTATAATATAATATAATATAATAGTGATAATATTATAATATAATACAATATACTACTACTAATAATATATTATTATTACATATTTTATATTAAATGTAATATTACTAATAATATTGCAGTATAATGTTATAGTACAATGTAATATATAATATTAATATTGTGCTATGATAATAATAAAATATATTGTATTTACTTTTTACTTGTAAGCCACTCTGAGTCCCCTTCGTGGTGAGAAGGACGGCATATAAATGTCGTAAATAATAAATAAATAAATAAAATAAAGCTCCTTCCTTGGAACCTTTTATACAGAAGCTGGATGGCCATCTGTCAGGGATATTTTTGATTATGCTTTTCCTGCATGGCAGGGGGTTGGACTAGATGGCCCATGTGGTCTCTTCCAACTCTGTGATTCTATAAGTTATATGTGCAACCTGGAGTGCCTTGTAAGCTGCCCCAAGTCCCTTCGGTGAAATGGTGGCAGAATATAAATAAAGTTTATTTTATTTACTAGCTGTCCCCTGTCACGCATTGCTGTGGCCCAATCTGGGTATTTGTGTTTTGTGTGTATATATATTTGTGTATATATGTGTTTGTATATATATGTGTGTGTGTGTGGTTTTGCACATGCGTTGTAATGTATTTTTTGTTTTTTGGCTTTGTAAGTCCCTTCCACTATGTTTTTCAGTGTTTTTATGAGTGATAGTCACTTGTTGGCCTGTTAAGTGTCTTGTTTCCAAATTTGGTGTCAATTCATCCAGTGGTTTTTGAGTTATGTTAATCCCACCAACGAACATTACATATTTATTTATATAGATTATTATTCTATATTCTTACTCAACCATTGGATAAGTGAGCCCCCGGTGGCGCAGTGGGTTAAACCCCTGTGCCGGCAGGACTGAAGACCGACAGGTCGCAGGTTCGAATCCGGGGAGAGGCAGATGAGCTCCCTCTATTAGCTCCAGCTCCTCATGCGGGGACATGAGAGAAGCCTCCCACAAGGATGATAAAAACATCAAAATCAACCAGGCGTGCCCTGGGCAACGTCCTTTCAGACGGCCAATTCTCTCACACCAGGAGTCACTCCTGACATGACAAAAAAAATTTCGATAAGTCCCTCTCTCTCATTTCCCGAAGAAGGCAATGACAAACATCCTCTGAACAATTCTTGCCAAGAGATTGCTGTGAGAGTTCAACCTCAGTTAGATATGACATGAAGGCATGCAAAATGCTCGATATTACTTGGTGGGGGTTTCTTTCATTTGTATGTGGTGCCCAGCATGAAGAGGAAAACAAACCTGGGCCAAGGGCTCTAGAGCCTGGCAATGTTTCATCATGTTTTCTCCTTCTCCAGGCTACCTCACCTCACCAGTCGCAGCATTCCACAGTAGATGTGGGGCAGCTGCACGACCCTCAGACGTACGGACAACATGCCATCCAAGTGCAACACATCCAAGTCACGGAACCAGCCCCAGCAGTCTCCACCTCCTCACAGGTAGCTGATGGAGTCACTTAAAGACCTACACTCTACACACATATATTATATCAGCAAACTTAAAATACTAGATTGGATTTCCATAAAGCTCCCACAGTTACACACAAAATAGGTTCATTCCTAATACTTTTGGAATGGTGCCATATAGTGGATGCATGGAGAAGTGATCCAGGAATCTGAGGTTGAGATCTTGCTTTGCTGGAGTGATTTCAAAAATATACTGTAAATGGTGATTTTTAAACCATAATCTACAGTTAGTTGGAAAAGTTTAGACGTACCTCAAAAGTCACGATTAAAATGAACTCCCAGAAACTTCAGCAACTTTGGCTAATGTCCCGAAATTCTGGGAGCTGGAATCCAAAACACTAATTGCACTGTAGAATGAATGCAGTTTGACAGCTTTTGAAATAATAATAGTAATAACAACAATAACAACAACAACAACAATAACAACAAGTAACATGATTTTTGTTCCTGGGTTATAAATGTCATTTCCTAATTGGTTCTATCATAAAAACATGGAAAAGTTTATTAAAAAAACTTTGTTTTGAGACACCTTGCAGCACATTTTGCTCTAGTTTTTCAGGATATCTCATCATAGAGTCTCAACCAATTCAACCTAGTTTGTGGCAGCCACAAAAACAAAGTTTCTGGATTATAACAACTACTTTCAAAGTGAGTATCGCAAAATGAAACAGGAAGTTTTCAAACCAGGAACAAATTTTGTTACATAGTGTAACAACAACAACAACCCATACTTTTTTTTCTCACAATCTCACGATTGTGGGGAAAAATCAAGTATGGATCGTTGATGTTGCAATTTCAGAGGACAGCAGAATTGACAAGAATCAGATGGAAAAGCTTGCACAATATGAGGATTTGAAGATAGAACTGCAAAGACTCTTGACACAAGCTAATAAAGGTAGTCCCAGAGGTGATCGGCACACTGGGTGCAGTACCTAAAGACCTTGGCCTGCACTTAAAAGTGATTGGCAATGACAAAATTACTATCTGTCAGCTGCAAAAGGCTAGTTGGATCTACACACATTATTCCCTGATATATCACACAGTCCTAGACACTTGGGAAGTGTCCGACGTGATCAAATACAAGAGCCAGCGTAGTGATCTTGTTTGCTGTGTAGTAAACTTCTTATGTAAATAATACCAATGATAATAATAATGGAGGTGTATTGAAATACAAAGAATCAATATATTTCAATAATAATAATAATAATGGTGTATTTAAATGCGAAAGCTACAATCTGATGTTACAAACTATTGTTTCAAACAATATTCAAACATGGCAATTGAAGGACTTTATTATGCTTTATTCCTAAAACTTTCTATGGGAAGAACCTGAATAATAATAATAATAATAATAATAATAATAATAATAAAAAACTTTATTTATACCCTGCCACCATCTCCCATCAGGGACTCGCGGTGGCGGAGTATAAAGTTTATTATTATTATTATTATTATTATTATTATTATTATTATTATTATTATTCAGGTTCTTCTCACAGAAATTTTTAGGCTTACATGAGGCCAAGCCCAACAATACAGTAAAACAATATACAACAAACACAGCAAAAATATAAAAATAAAATAAAGTAAAATACAAAACCATTTAAAGAACACATCAACAATATAAAACCACAACATTTAAAACACAGAGGTTGATCATATTGGGCAGGCCGATTTCAATGGATAAAAATTTAAAAATTTAAAAACACTGTGTGAGACACCAGTGTAATGTATCTGGACAGGGGATCCGACAAAATAGAGTAGGGTGAGATTGCAGCTTTTTCTGCACCATACTGCATGCTAATCAGTATTACATTAGAATTTATTATACACCAAACTATATGTGTGAGTTATTTCAAAATAAAAGCATATGACAAAAGTTTTGGTTGTTACTTCTTTTATGAAAACCAATATTTATAGTAAGCACAGATGGATACTAACACCACAGCATGCTGGTTATCATTGCAAACTGCTATATTAAGCACAAAAGGTACACAGGGGTTTTTTTCCCCCTTCTCCTCACTTATCCCCTTTTCACTTTGTGGAACATCTTTTGGAACTGAATGAGTCATATCTAAATGTGTTACAAGAATTTTGACTGGAAAATGGAGTGAATTAGGTTTCAAAAATGCTGAGATCCTTCCAAATGGAGAATGTGTGGCTTAAGCTTAGCATAACTTTCTAGAAGATGTATGCTGCATTTCGCTTTTCCTGTGCATTATTCCAGGTGGGAAGTCAGCCCTTGAGTCCCTCCTCGCAACCGTCTCAGCAGGAACTCAGCCCTTCCCAAATGCAGACCACTGCCTCGTCTCAAAGCCAACCACAGCAAGGCACCTCGGTCCAGCAAACATATCTTCCTAGCACATGGAACTCCTTCCGCAGCTATCGTATGTATCACGTATGACCAATTATGTCACTCCTTGCTTTTGAAGGAGCTAAACAGCTGGGCCATATCCACAGTTTGCTTGTCTGCGATTTAATAAAACACTTGTGGATCCCTTTGAAGAGGAATAACAACATACATTGTCAAAGGCTTTCATGGCCAGAATCACTGGTTTGTTGTAGGTTTTTTCGGGCTATATGGCCATGTTCTAGAGGCATTCTCTCCTGACATTTCGCCTGCATCTATGGCAAGCATCCTCAGAGGTAGTGAGGTCTGTTGGAACTAGGAAAATGGGTTTATATATCTGTGGAATGACCCGGGTGGGACAAAGAACTCTTGTCTGCTGGAGCTAGGTGTGAATGTTTCAACTGACCACCTTGATTAGCATTTGATGGCCTGGCAGTGCCTGGGCAATCTTTTGTTGAGAAGTGATTAGATGTCCCTGATTGTTTCCTCTCTGTTGTTTTGCTGTTGTAATTTTAGAGGTTTTTTTTTAATACTGGTAGCCAGATTTTGTTCTTGTTCAACAGACAAGAGTTCTTTGTCCCACTTTGGTCGTTTCTAAGATATATAAACCCATTTTCCTAGTTCCAACAGACCTCATTACCTCTGAGGATGCTTGCCATAGATGCAGGTGAAACGTCAGGAGAGAATGCCTCTAGAACATGGCCATATAGCCCGAAAAAACCTACAACAACCCAATAACAACATGGTTTCCTCATATTATATCCAAGCTGTCTTTTTCTCGCCTTAAACATAAAACTTTGCATTATCTTACCTAAGCCTGCAGTTTTAACTCTGTTGTTCTACAGACAGAGAGCTGGTCCATTTAAAACAATGACATGTAGTCTGTTTTTTGGCTGCATTTAATCCTTAGGCCTCTCTTTGATCACCTTTCCAATTGGTGATGGTAAATACTTCTTTTTTTAACTTTCTAATCTTGCTCTACAGCTTCTGAAATTCAGATGATGACCATCCCACAGGGTCAGTATGTGATTACAGAGACCGCTGTGGGCACACCTGTCACCACCGTGAACACCGGCCAAGTGAAAGCGGTCACTCAGGTAAGAATAAAGAGGGCAGACCCAGTCATGTTTAACCATATCTAAGAAACTAGAGCTGGTGCTGTCTACCCATTGCAGTTTTCTGAACCAGTAGCTCAAATAACCCCAAGAATAGGTCTAAAAGCCAAGACACCAAAAAAAAATTTTTTTTTGGTTGGGCTGTGTAATATAAGTTTAAAACCTCCTCCATTCCCAACACTCCTCTTTAGCTATTATCAGGACCTATTGCCAACATGAAGGCCCTGACTGCCATCCTTGCAGCCTGTAGAGTCCTATTAACTGTAGTTAGCAATAGATAGCTTGCCACATTTATATCAGTAGGTCTTCTTTAAGCATAACGAAGTCCGAATCCAATATTTGGATATTTCTCTTTGCCTTGGAACAGTGAAACTGATGCTGGACAGATTCAGCCAAAGTATATATGTTTTGGACTTATTATTATTATTATTATTTACAGTATTTATATTCCGCCCTTCTCACCCCGCAGGGGACTCAGGGTGGATTACAACGTACATATGCATGGCAAACATTCAATGCCATAGTCACACAACATATATAGACAGACACTCAGAGGCTATTAACTTTCCAGCTTCTGGCCACCAGGGGAGCTGTTGCTTCCTCATTCTATGCATACTTCCTGGAGATTTTTTATGGCCTCGTAAATCAGTTAATTTAGCCTCCCCACAAAGTGGTACCTAACTTTCCTATTTGACAGATGCAACTGTCTTTCGGGTTGCAAAAGTTGATAACAAGCTACACAATTTTGGTTGGGAGCTCACTCCGACCCGGGCTGGCTTCGAACTCATGACCTTTCGGTCAGTAGTGATCTTAATGCAGCTGACTCTCAGTCAGCTGTGCCATAGTCCCGGTGCATAAGGACAAAGGAATTGTTTCTGTCTGAACAAGCTTAGTATTATAAGACCATGATCATACTAAGTCCCCTTCCACACAGCTGTATAAAATCCCACATTATCTGCTTTGAACTCGGTTATATGGTAGTCTGGACTCAGATAACCCAGTTTAAAGCAGATAAGCAGGTTATCTGCCTTGATATTCTGGGTTATATGGCTAAGACTTCACAAGGCCTTTTGTTCCTATGTACAGATCTCAAATAAAATATACATTATTGTCTCAGATACACAAAGCATATACAGCATGATTCCATATCTGCAGGATTGTGACACACACACACACACACACACACACAGATATATACAGCCCCCAGAAGCACAGTGGGTTAAAACACTGAGTTGCTGAACTTGGTGACCAAAAGGTTGCTGGTTCAAATCTGGGGAGCGGGGTGAGCTCCCACTGTTAGCCCCAGCTTCTGCCAACCTAGTAGTTTTAAAACATGCAAATGTGAGTAGATCAGTAGTTACTGCTCAAGTGGGAAGGTAACAGTGTATCCATGCAGTCATGCCACATGACCTTGGAGGTGTCTATGGACAATGCCAGCTCTTCGGCTTAGAAATGGAGATGAGCACCAACCCCCAGAGTTGGACACGACTGCACTTAATGTCAGGAGAAAACCTTTCCCTTTACACAGTTTAACTTATCCATAGCTGCACTTATTCACTTAATAATATTTTTTTTTGTCGTGTCAGGGGCGACTTGAGAAACTGCAAGTTGCTTCTGGTGGAGAGAATTGGCCGTCTGCAAGGACATTGCCCAGGGGACGCCCGGATGATTTGATGTTTTTAGCATCCTTGTGGGAGGCTTCTCTCATGTCCCCGTATGAGGAGCTGGAGCTGATAGAGGGAGCTCATCCGCCTCTCCCCGGTTTCGAACCTGCGACCTGTCAGCCTTCAGTCCTGCCGGCACAGGGGTTTAACCCACTGCGCCACCGGGGGCTCCTAATAATAATAATAATAATAATAATAATAATAATAATAATAACACTTTATTTATACCCCGCCACCATCTCCCCAAGGGACTCGGAGCGGCTTACATGAGGCCAAGCCCAACAACACATCAATAAAAACAACAGGGAATAAGCAAAATAAACATTACAATTAATATAACTCACACATAGACAATAACACACAGGGATTTAAAAACCTGTGGCCAGGCCAGATGTAATAGTTAAAACTTAAAAAAATAAATGCTGGACATGAACAGAGGATGTACCTAGTAGGAGAGTTTTAAACAAGAAGAGCAGCCCAACGGGTAATTAAAGTGCTTCTCAGGATATTTTGCAGGGAATTGTTTCCTTTATTCAGGGGAAGGCACACTGGAACAGCCACGTTTTCAGGCTCCTCCTAAAGACTGCCAATGTGGGGGCTCGTCTGATATTCTTGGGGAGTGAGTTCCAGAGTCGAGGGGCCACCAAAGAGAAGGCCCTCTCCCTCGCCCCCACCAATAGCAGCTGCGAAGGAGGTGGGAGTGAGAGCAGGGTCTCTCCAGATGATTGAAGAGATTGCATGGGTTCGTATACAGAACTGCGGTTGTAAGGGGGATCAAGGGAACGAGGGGTCCCTTAACGCATGTGTGACAGGGGGAAGCCTTTCAATCCCACCACTGCCACCAATGTAAGGAAGAACGCGCTGCGGATCCCCTTGTGTGACAGGAATTTGAGTGAGGGAATGACTAATGATGTGAGAGACCAATGATATTGGTAGATTCTTGCCGCCGCCACCTCAATTTTACTGTTTGAGGAAACAAGGTGTGAATGTATTTGAGGTAATATGTGCCTAGGTTTCTGGCTCTTCTTTCTGGGCTCCTTTGCTATAAGGATGTTTCACCAAGTAGGACAGACCGAGGCAGAGACAAGTTAACGATGAACTAATAACAGGTTTATTGAACTTTAAGAAGATGACAACTCATAAAATGAGAGATACACACGCGTATTTTTGTTACTGAGGCTCAGGCTTACTAGACATAAGGTTTCTACAGAAGGAGTAGCTTTTACTTGAAGTGAGCTACCTACTTCACACTATTCAACCCTTTAAAACAGTGTGTTTCTAAGATCAGTCACCCTGACTGTCTTACAGAGTAACCAGACTTCCTCTAGTCTACTCTCCACTATAGGGCAATAAGCCTACTTGTATTCTCTCCTTAATACAAGCTGACAAGTCTTCTCACGGACTCTCCTAGTCCAGTTTTACTGAAGCCCTTGTCCCTTTCTTTATTCCCTATCAGATCAACTCACTCAAAACTTCCTTCTCCCTGCCTATAATATTTCTCCTCTGTTGAAATCCTACTCCCTGCTCTGTTGGAATCTTTCTCTGTCTCTCTTAGAATCCCTCTCTCTGTTCTCTCAGAACCCTTCTCTCCCTCCTGTCAGGAGTGACAGCCTTTTTCACTCTCACCCAACTCCTCCACTTGGTGCTTAAACGAATCAGGAGTTGGCTGACTCCTCCCCTTGCCTCCTTGCCTATACTAAGATGTCTGCTATTCTAAGCTTCCCCACCAAGATGGAGACCCAGCCTACTGACTCTCAGGCTTCGGCCTAGTCGGCAAAGGTTAGAATCTATTACAGCGGTCACTTAGGGCCTCCTATAAATACTGAACCATTTTTCAGTATATTCATCATCCATCCCATTGAAAGTAATAAGTTCTGCTATTATTCACAGTCTCACATGTCTATGTGAAGTCCAGGAGTGTATCCACTGCAGATATATGGGGGTTGAATTGTATTTCTGTCAATTGCCATTTTTCTTTATACTGAAGATATAGGAGAAAAATATGAAAAACCTAACAGCTTACGTGGGTGTCTTTTCTTACAGACACATTATGTAATAGCGGAAGGTCAATCTGAACTGGATGTCAAGCCTAACCTGTCCCTTTCCAGCGATGTCGAAGTGGATCTGTCCCAGGCGTCCGCACATTCGGACTCTTTGGAATCCCCATCAGCCAGTCAACAGCAAACAGCACAGTTCATCATCACAGCTACTACCAATGGCAATGGCAGCAGCGATGTGCACATGGAAAAACCATAAATTTCCTTTGAGGAGATACGATTGGACCAGGCGACGTTGTCAACCATCCCAAATCTGTAGGACATCAACAGCTGTTTTTAGAAGTCCATTTGTATAACGTAGAGGTCATCTGATGCCTCATTGAGAATTACAAACTATTTAAGGCTCCCGCCATCTTCAGTAGCCCTTGAACAAAAAATGCTAAAAAGGAGAAATATTATTTTTCTCTAGACTCCTTTTCTTCTCCTCTCAGCCTCATTCTTCCATTTGGAGGTAGGCAGCAGTGAAAGAATACATTGCTACACATATAACTGCTGGCAGAATATGTCCGAAATACATTTCTGATGTGCTGTTCACATTTCTTTTGGCTTTATTTTTTTTTTTTAAATAGCCATGGGAAAAAAGGGAATATATCAGCTTGGAGGAGAAAACAATGACTGATAATGCAACAATGGTGAACTTTTGTTTTCCACTACATTGGACAAATGGAACGATGAAACTGTGAAGCTGTGCAAAAGTAGTTAAATTATTATTGGGATGGGGATGACTCCTCCCCTTTTTTTATTTGTAACCCTGTGGACTGTTTAAATGCCACCCGCACGGCCCTAATACTCATTTCTGGAGAGTATGATGGAAGAGGCCTTGGAACCTTCACAAGCCTCAATCTCATTCCAATCAGAGAAGCGCATCAAGGTAGCACTGAGCCTGAACCTTCACCTCTGACTGTGTTCTCTCTGTGTAAGAGGGATTATTTTATTTTATTTTTGCCCTGGAAAACCAATAAAAAGGCTCAGTGATGTTTTGAAATGTTTCGTGGCTTTCGGTGTGGGGAAAATAGAGGCGGTGGGAGGTGGCTGTATATTAAAAAGTTGCTTCCATCTCTGCTCCTAATACAGCTGCTGATAGAGCAGTGTTTCTCAACGTGGGGGGGGGGGTCATAAGGGGGTATCAGAGGGGTCACAAAGGACCATCAGAAAACACAGTATTTTCTGTTGGTCATGGGAGTTCTCTGTGCCAAGTTTGGTGCAGATCCATTGTGGGTTGAGTTCAGAATGCTCTTTGATTGTAGGTGAACTATAAATCCCAGTAATTACAACTCCCAAATGTCGAGGTCTATTTCCCCAAACTCCACCAGTGTTCATATTTCGGCATATTGAGTATCTGTGGCAGATTTGGTCCAGATCCATTGCTTGAGTCCACAGTGCTCTCTGGATATAGGTGAACTACAGCTCCCAAACTCAAGGTCAATGCCCATCATTGGTGGATTTCAGAATGCTCTTTGATTGTAGGTGAACTATACATCCCAGCAACTACAACTCCCAAGTGACAAAATCAATTCTGCCCACACATGCACCACTCCACTAGTATTCAAATGTGGGCGTCTTGGGTAGTTGTGCCAAATTTGATCCTGCATATCAGCTATTTACATTATTTATTTATTTATTTATTTATTTAAAATATTTATATTCCGCCCTTCTCACCTCGAAGGGGACTCAGGGCGGAGCACAGCATATATATGGCAAACATTCAATGCCGGGACACAAATTCTTATATACATATATAAACATTACAAAACATTTACCAAAATATTAAAATACACCATTTAAAACCATCCTAGTCATCCACGTCAAATCCAATTGGCCTGGTCATCTTTCCTATTGACATTTTATTGCCCTGTCCCGAAAGCTTGGTCCCAGAGCCAAGTTTTTACCATCCTTCTTAAGGACAGGAGGGAGGGGGCCGACCTGATCTCACCAGGAAGGGAGTTCCATAGCCAGGGAGCAATCACCGAGAAGGCCCTGTCTCTCGTCCCCACCAATAGTGCCTGTGACAATGGCGGGACAGAAAGCAGGGGGATCTTAATCTCCGCGATGGTTCATAGGGAGAGATGGGTTTAGACAGGTAATTTGGGCCAGGGCTGTTTAGTGTTTAGGGCTTTATAGGCCAAAGCCAGCACTTTGAATTGTTCCCGGTAGCAAACTGGCAGCCAGTGAAGCTGGTGTAACATGGAAGTTGTATGCTCCCTGTAGGCCACCCCAGTTATTAACTTGGCTGCCTCTTGTTGGACTATTTGAAGCTTCTGAGCAGTCTTCAAAGGCAACCCCAAGTAGAGTGCGTTGCAGTAGTCTATCCTAGATGTAACGAGAGTGTGGACCACCGTGGCCAAGTCTGACTTCCCAAGGTACAGGCGCAGGGGAAGTCACATTCTCTCGGCCTCACAGGGAGCAAACAACAAACCCCTCTGAATAAATCTGCAAGTGTGCTGCAATACTCTGGTCACTATGCATTGAATATTCAAATGTGAGTCACGATTCCAAGGCTTTGTGCCTTCCTATGATGTATGGACACTAAAACAAATGAAGTTGGGACACTCCTTCAACTGCCCTGGCTCAATGTGTTGTTGAAGGCTTTCATTGCCAGAATCACTGGGTTACTACTGTAAGTTTTCCGGGCTGTCTGGCCATGTTCCAGAAGCATTCTCTCCTGATGTTTCACCTGCATCTATGGCAGGCATTTTCAAAGGTTGTGAGGTCTGTTGGAAACCAGGAAAATGGGGTTTATATATCTGTGGAATGTCCAAGGTGGGAGAAAAAACGCTTCTCATTGGGGCAAATGTGAATGTTGCAATTGGCCAGCTTGATTAGCTAACCTTGCAGCTTCAAAGCCTGGCTGCTTCCTGCTTGGGGAATCAATGGTTAGGAGTTGTTAGCCTGATTGTTTTCTGTCTTGAATTCCCCTGCTTCAAAGCCTGGCTGCTTCCTGCCAGGGGGAATCCTTTCTTGGGAGGTGTTAGCTGGCCTTAATTGTTCCCTGTCCGGAATTCCCCTGCTTCACATCCTTTGGTGGGAGGTGTTAGCTGGCCCTGATTGTTTCCTGTCTGGAATTCCTCTATTTCAAAACCTGGCTGCTTCTTGCCAGGGGGAATCCTTTCTTGGGAGGTATTAGCTGCCCCTGATTGTTTCGTGTCTTGAATTCCCCTGCTTCAAAGCCTGGCTGCTTCCTGCAAGGGGGAATCCTTTGTTGGGAGGTATTAGCTGGCCATGACTATTTCCTGCATTGAATTCCCCTGCTTCAAAGCCTGGCTGCTTCCTGCCAGGGGGACTCCTTTGTTGGGAGGTGTTAGCTGGCCCTGATTGTTCCTTGTCTTGAATTCCCCTGCATCAAAGCCTGGCTGCTTCCTGCCTGGGGGAATCCTTTGTTAGGAGGTGTTAGTTGGCCCTAATTGTTTCTTGTCCYGAATTCCCCTGCTTCACATCCTTTGGTGGGAGGTGTTAGCTGGCCCTGATTGTTCCTTGTCTTGAATTCCCCTGCTTCAAAGCCTGGCTGCTTCCTGCCTGGGGAATCCTTTGTTGGGAGGTGTTAGTTGGCCCTGATTATTTTTATTCCAGAATTCCCCTGCATCAAAGCCTGGCTTCAATTGTCCTGTTTCAAAGTTTGGCTGCTTCCTGCCAGGAGGAATCCTTTGTTGGGAGGTGTTAGCTGGCCCTGATTGTTCCTTGTCCGGAATTCCCCTGCTTCACATCTTTTGGTGGGAGGTGTCAGCTGGCCCTGATTGTTTTCTGTCTGGAATTCCCACTTCAAAGCCTGGGWGCTTCCTGCCTGGGGGAATACTTTGTTGGGAGGTGTTAGCTGGCCCTGATTATTTTCTTTCCGGAWTTCCCCTGCATCAAAGCCTGGCTGCTTCCTGCCTGGGGGAATACTTTGTTGGGAGGCGTTAGCTGGCCTGATTGTTTCCTTTCCAGAATTCCCTTGCATCAAAGTCTGGCTGCTTCCTGCATGGGGGAATCCTTTGCTGGGAGGTGTTAGCTGGCCCTGATTGTTCCCTGTCTTGAATCCCCCTGCTTTTTGAGTGTAACTTTTTGCAGCCCTGGCTCTGTTGGACAAGCTTTCCCTTCCAAAAAGTTAGTTATTTCACCAATCACAATTCCCAGGATTCCAGGGGGAAAAGGAAAGTGGTAGTAATAATTCGAGAGAGAGAGAGCGCATGCGCTGTCTGGCGGCTGGGTAAGTAGAGGGGGAGAGAGAGAGCGCATGCGCTGTCTGGCGGCTGGGCAAGTAGAGGGAGAGAGAGAGAGCGCATGCGTTGTCTGGCGGCTGGGCAAGTAGAGGGGGAGAGAGAGAACGCATGCGCTGTCTGGCGGCTGGGCAAGTAGAGGGAGAGAGAGAGCGCGCATGCGCTGTCTGGCGGCTGGGCAAGTAGAGGGGGAGAGAGAGCGCGCATGCGCTGTCTGGCGGCTGGGAGAGCAGAGGGCGAGCGGGACCACGCAGGCGCAGAAGAGGCGGAGCTCTTACAAGCCACGCCCCGGAAGCAGAATGCCTTGCCTGAAGAGTCTGAAACAGGAAGCTGATTACTCTCAGGAATACAAGGCGTAATTGTCTCTGGTATGCAATGTGGGGGAGATCTGAAGCCATGTGTGAATGTAGTTTGGACCTTCTTTGGAATTGGGCGAGTTGGGAGTCCTCAAGGCCTTGTCAGAGCTGCAACTGCCTTGATCCCATAGCCTGGAGGCAGGGCAGGGGAAGGGCTGCCACATTGGGTGGATTCCACAGTGTAGATTTAGGCCTTTTTCCCCCTCAGCCGCTTAAGGAAGGGGCCTGAGGCTGTTAGGCATGGTGGGAGTTGAAGTCCAAAACACCTGGAGGGCCCAACTTTGCCCAGGCCTAATGTAGATGCATCAAAACCAAAACTTGGGCTTCACAGTTCCCAAATGACTTGTTTAATCTGCTTTTCACAGACTCTCCCAAGGATCGCCCTTCCCAATGGCTTCAGCGTGTCCCTTTCAACCCTCATTGACTGGCCTTCGTGGTCCCTAGCAAGAGGAGCAGCGTGTTCGCCGAATACGAGGTAAATAAAATGAGTGAATTAGCATATTTGTTAATCCAGGCAAAGGCAAACTTCGGCCTTCTGGGTGTTTTGGGCTTCTACTCCGAAAATTCCTAACAGCCTCAGGTTGAAGGGGGAAAGGAAAGGTGTTATCTCTATGCAGATGATATCCAAATCTGTCACTCCTTTCCACCTGTCACCAAGGAGGCTTCTGGGACGCCTCGAGAATATGGGACTTGGGGGTACAGCTTTGCAGTGGCTCCAGTAATTTCTTGAGGGACGGTCCCAGAAGGTGTTACTGGGTGACTCCTGTTCGGCCCCTCAACCGTTGTCATGTGGGGTTCCACAGGGATCAATTCTGTCCCCGATGTTGTTTAACATCTACATGAAGCCACTGGGAGAGATCATCCAGAGTTTCGGACTAAGATGTTATCTCTACGCAGATGATGTCCAAATATGTCACTCCTTTCCACCTGTCACCAAGGAGGCTGTCCAAACCTTGAACCGGTGCTTGGCAGCTGTGTCGGACTGGATGACAGCTAACAAATTGAAACTGAATCCAGACAAGACATAGGTCCTACTGGTCAGTCGTAAGGCCAAACAGGGCATAGGGTTACAGCCTGTGCTAGACGGGGTTACACTCCCCCTGAAGACGCAGGTTCGCAGCTTGGGAGTGATCCTGGACTCATCGCTGAGCTTGGAACCCCAGGTCTCAGCAGTGGCCGGGAGAGCTTTTCTACAATTAAAACTTGTGCGCCAGCTGCGCCTGTACCTTGGGAAGTCTGATATGGCAGCAGTGGTCCACGCTCTCGTTACATCCCGAATAGATTACTGCAATGCACTCTACGTGGGGTTGCCTTTGAAGACTGTTCGGAAACTTCAATTAGTCCAGCGGACGGCAGCTAGATTACTCACCGGAGCATCATACAGGGAGCATACCACCCCTCTGTTATGTCAGCTCCACTGGCTGCCGATCCAATTCCGAGCACCATTCAAAGTGCTGGTTTTGACCTACAAAACCCTATATGGTTCCAGCCCAGACTTCCCAAGGTACGGGCGCAACTGGCACACAAGTTTTAATTGTGCAAAAGCTCTCCCGGCCACCGCCGAGACCTGGGGAATGAAGGTATTCAGAGGGGAATCTAACAGATCAGATTTTGATGCATACTGGTTGGTCTTTATTAAATATGCTTTAGAGAGTGAAAATAGAAAACAATATAACCCTGTTGATCAGGAATTTTGGATATGACATTTGATTAATGGTTGATGTATAAATATATGGCGAAGGAAAGGATACTTGTTAAGGCCTTTGTGGTGGGGCTATGTTTTTGTAAAATGTTCACTGTTTTGTGTTTTGTTTACATTGTAAGTTGTTAATGTATGTAAATAAAATCTTAATAATAATAAAAAAACACGATGGTTCACATGGACATACAGTGCTCCCTCACTTATTGTGGGTGTTAGTTCCAGGACCACCCGTGATACGTGAAAATCCGTGAAGTAGGGACACTATATCTATATATGCACAGTAGTTACAATCCTATTTACTGTAAATTGTGATTTTTTATAATTTATAATATTCTTTTAGTGTTAGAATTAATACTTTTGATATATTTTTATACATTTTGTGATTGTAAAATCAGAAATGCCTTTCCCAACTTACAAAGTACATTGTTATAGTGCCTGACTTTTTGTTCAAGGACAAAAACCATGGATTCCCTGGATCATATGCTCACCGACCCATTGGAGCTGGGCCCTTCCGGAGAAGGAAATGGCACACAAATCATGGAAGACTGCATGCTGGGATCCATACGCATCAGCCTGCCAGAAGATCTCTTGGAGGATGTGAGGACAATAATAATAAACAACAACCATTTTTATTACGGTCCATAGACACATCAATAAAACCAACATATAATATAGTAATAATCATCATCATCTTTATTTTTAACCTGCCCTGTCTCCTGAAGGGACTCTGGATGGCTTCCAAGAATGAAAATGGCAAATATTCAATGCCATGGAAACATTATGTATATATTCAGTTTTATCATATTTATTTACTGTGTTGTTATAAGTGTTTTACTTAGCTTACTATACAGAGTGTAGTCACGTTTTATCAAGCCTTTTGTTTGGTTTGGTATTGTGATATGGCCTAAGACCTAATCAATAAAATTACTTACAATGCCATGTGCAATACTAAAATATAAAAATTTACACATACAATTAAAACAGATTAAACAACTTAGGCTAAAAGGCTATGAACTAGACCAGGGGTCCTCAAAGTTTTTAAATAGAGGGCCAGGTCACAGTCCCTCAAACTGTTGGAGGGCCAGATTATATTTTGAAAAAAAAATGAATTAATTCCTATGCACACTGCACATATCTTATTTGTAGAGCAAAAACACTTAAAACAATACAATAATTAAAATGAAGAACAATTTTAACAAATATAAACTTATTAGTATTTCAATGGGAAGTGTGGGCCTGCTTTTGGCTGATGAGTTAGGATTGTTGTTGTTGCGTGCTTTCAAGTTGTTTCAGACTTAGGTTGACCCTGAGCGAGGGCCGGGTAAATGACTCTTTTCCACTGCCATATTAAATCCAGATGATCTGCTTTGAACTAGATTATAGGGCAGTGTGGAGTTCAAAGTTCAAAGCAGATAATATGAATTATCTGTTTTGATAATCTGGGTAATTTATTTATTTGTCGTGTCAGGAGTGACTTGAGAAACTGCAAGCCACTTCTGGTGTGAGAGAATTGGCCGTCTGCAAGGATGTTGCCCAGGGGACGCCCGGATGATTTGATGTTTTTATCATCCTTGTGCGAGGCTTCTCTCATGTCCCCGTATGAAGAGCTGGAGCTGATAGAGGGAGCTCATCCGCCTCTTCCCAGATTTATTTATTATTATTTTATTTACTGCACTTGTTAACCGCCGCTCTCAGCCCTAGGGCGACTCGCGGCGGTGTACAACAATCTAAAAACAGGTACAAAACAGCAACACAATCAAAATTACATCATCAACGCTAAATACAAATTACAACTAATTGATCCGCTTCGTCTCATTCATAAAATCATAGCCAACTCAAAATCCGTATAATGTTCCTGTCGTCGGTTACCGGTTAAAGCACTTAATTGAAAGCTTTCTCAAAGAGCCAGGTTTTCAAGTTTTCAGTCTTCAGTCCTGCCGGCACAGGGGTTTAACCCACTGCGCCACCGGGGGCTCCATAATCTAGGTTATATGTCAGTATAGAAGGGGCCTAGGACTCAGTGGAGCAATGGGTTCAAATGACAGGAAAGGATGTTCAGCACCACAACTCTCTCTAGGGGTGTGGTGGAAGCTCCTTCCTGGAGTCTTTTAAACAGGCTGAATGGCCATCAGTCATGGGTGCTTTGATGGTGCTTTTTCTGCATGGCAAAAGGGTTTTGAATTGGATAACGTATGGGGTCCCTTCTGACTATGATTCTCTGATTTCATTCTTGTTCATTTTCCTCCTTCTCATGTAGCCGGAGATCTTTTTTGAAGTGGTCAGCCTGTCCACATGGCAGGACGTCCTGGTGAACTCACAGCGAGAACACTTGAAGAAGTTCTTACCCCATTTCCCAGAAAACAACACAGAGCACCAAAACAATCTCATTTTGTCTCTGTTCAATGGAGAAAACTTCCGGTTTGGAAACCCTTTACACATTGCCCAAAAGCTGTTCCGAGGTATGTGGCCGCTTTAAATGTATGTTTGTTCTTATCAGTAATATTGTTGTGTTTACATTGAGGACTTTGGTTCTGGGAAAGATATGGATTAAAATATGAATAAATAGGACACACCTGTCTCTTGAGTCCAGAAAGTCTACATTTTAAGAATGGCAGTAATCTTTTATTTTTCTCTTAATATGAGCTTCCACATATTTGATATTGCTGAACATATAGAAGTACAGAAACTTCAGATAATATCAGCCATTAATATATTGCCATGCCCTTAAATTTCAAAGAGGTTGATTAGTTAAGGCAAAGATATCTGAAGGAAAAACTGTTATATACCTCTTTCTGTTTACATTGAAATGAGCTAGATCTCTAAAAAAGTCCTCTCTTGAAAATTGATTTCTGGAAACATTTGGAGTGATGCTTATTGGAGGAAAAATATTTTTTGGACAGTAGAATGAAAACTAGTCGTGACAGCAGTGATGCTCTTATTCCAGATGGTCACTTCAACCCTGAGGTAGTAAAATATCGGCAGCTGTGCTTCAAATCCCAATACAAGCGTTACCTCAGTTCCCAGCAGCAGTACTTCTATCGGTTGCTGAAACAGATCTTAGCCTCCCGGAATGTAAGTATTTCAAAAAACTGAAATGAAATACAGATCCCTGAACATGGTATTTATGGTTAAGACTGGAAAGAAAGTCCTGGTTTCTCAATTGTCTCGTACAAGCTGGAATCCAAAGAAGTCTGCTATAAATTCTACAGACTTAAGGAATGTGTAAAGCTCAAGTATTTTACATATAAATAGTTTTTACATATAAATTTTTATTTTATCAATATAAATAAAAATATAATGTTCGTTTGTGGGATTAACAGAACTCAAAAACCACTGGACGAATTGACACCAAATTTGGACACAAGACACTTAACTACCTAATGTATGTCCTTCACTCAATTGATTTTGTCATTTGGGAGTTGTAGTTGCTGGGATTTATAGTTCACTTACAAGCACAGAGCATTCTGAACCCCACCAATGATAGAATTGGGCCAAACCTCCCACACAGAACCCCCATGTGGGCCACAGCAACGTGTGGCAGGGGACGGCTAGTTTTGAATAATAGGGCAGTGTAAAGAGAGAGGAAAAGTTTAGTTTTTCCAAGTAAAGTGGGGGAACAATACTGTGATAGGAAAGTAGGAAAGAGAAGAACCCAAAACTCAAAAAGAACCCAAAACAGGGTGCCAAAAGAAAAAATGGAAAAGGAGAAAAAAGAAAAAGTAAAATTTAAAAAATTACAAGAAAATAAAAAGATGAAAAAAGTATATATAATAAAAACAAACAATATATACAAAATAGAAAAAATTAAAGCATGCATAGGAATATGAATATTTATGTTGCCTTTTACTATGATGCCATGTAGGTCAGTATTGTCTGCTAAGGTAGCAGATTTGCAAACAAAGGTTTTCCCTGTTGCTACTGTCTTGAGTTTACTCACAAAAGCAGCTCATATCTTGAGTTTGCACTAGCCTTGGCCCGGCTTTTTAATTGCTCTGAATAAGCAGGATTATTTTTAATATACATGTGTTATTGTGATAATTTTATGCTCATGTTGTTTTGTTAATTTTATGTTATATTGTTTACTTTGTATGTTTCGATGATGTTACTTGGAAATTGCCCTGAGTCCCCCTCGGGGAGATAGAGTGGTATATAAATAAAGTCGTCGTTGTCGTGGTCGTCTTCCTCCTCCTCCTCCTCTTCTTCTTCTTCTTCTTCTTCTTCTTATTATTATCATTATTATTATTATGCTGATCTGTTCTTCCAAGTTCTTTTTTTAAATGTTGGAAATATGAATATAAACATAAGAGCTATGTTTAAATATTTGAAAGGATGTCATAAGGAAGAGAGAGCAGGCTTGTTTTCTGCTGCCCTTGAGACTTGGGAATCAGTGGACCAATGGGTTCAAATTACAGGAAAGGAGATTCATCTTGAACATTAGGAAGAACTTCCTGACTGTAAAGAGAGCTGTTCAACAGCTGTGGAACTCCCTCCCCAGTGACATTAGATCAGCCCTCTTCTCCTGACCTATGGAAAGAGAGTGAAAATTTGGCTTTGAGATGAAGCCTTGGAGAACAATTGTAGTGCAATAGATGTATTTGGAATTTCGAGCAATGACTACTGGAATGGCCTGGATTATGATTGCGGATAGCGTGGTTTATAATAGTGATTGTAATGTTTTTAAATGTTTTAATGTATTTTAACTTTGATTTTAATTTTAATATTTATTTTAACTGCATATTGTTTTTTAAGGCATTGAATTGTTGCCTATGTTGTAAGCCACCTTGAGTCCCCTTCGGGATCGAGAAAGGTGGGATATAAATATAGTAAATATAATTAAACAGCAGAACTAATTGCATCAAAGCTCCGTGGAGGCTCCTTCTTGGAGGTTTTTAAACTGAAGCTGGATGGCCATTTGTCGGGGGTGCTTTGATTGTGCTTTTTCTGCATGGCAGAGGGTTGGGCTGGATTGCCCATGTGGTCTCTTCCAATAATCTGAGGCTGAATGGCCATCTGTTGTGAGTGCTTTGATTGAAAATTAATTTATAACTTGATCTATAATTTTTGAAATGTCATAGCTGTTCGAATTGCACTCAGTTGGTTGACTTGTGTAAATATCTGTTTCAGCATCTTCTAGAGTTGGCCAAGAAAGGTGGCCCCAATCTGGCTGTGAAGAGGAAATACTCATCAGCTGCTTGCGCTGCTGAAGAGCGAGACAGACAGACCCATCGGCGGTACCTGAAAATCCTCAGGGAAGTGAAAGAGGAATGTGGAGATACTGCTTTATCCTCTGATGAAGAAGGTAACAGATTGCGTTTTAGAGGTGGTTTTTATTGCAATATTTCTGTCTCAACCTTCATTCAGGAGATCTCTGAGTGGCGTACAATTGAAACGGTGTAAACAATTTAGATCAGTTCCGGATTTTTAAAATATTAGATTATGATGAAAGCATATCAGACAAATTTTAAAATTCAACTTCCAAGGTTTTAAAATGCCAGACTTGGTGCCCAAAATAAGCCAGTGTTAGCACCAATCAGAGAAGGCATTCCATAAACAAGGAAATCGCCATGTAGAAAATGTACTGGGAATTTCCTTTATTTCGCCAGCAGTTGATTTTTTTTTTTTGTATAAAATGGAACTACCAGGTAACTTGGGTGTGTGGATTTGCTGTAATTGCTTAGGAACATGATTAAATGTTCAGGTTTGTTGGCAGTTCTGTGCAGAAACCTTGCAATTTTGCATTTCAGATCTTAGTTCCTGGATTCCAAATTCCCCAGCTCATTGCCCAAGTCCTACTGTTGCTCTCAGGGTATTGCCAACATTATCTACTCAAGATATGAAAACTGCAGGTAAAATCAAGTGGTATCTTATTCTGGTTCATCTTGAAAGTTTTGCAAAATAGATGCTCCCGGTGCTTTGCTTTCTTCACTTAAACATTTCTAGAGCTGTTCCTTCTTTTGTTAGAGGCCAATCTATTGTTATGGAAACTGTTCATCGTTTGCCTTCTGTATCCATTGTCATATATAATGGCACCAGAAACAATGCAGAATGTGTGTTTACTGTTCTTGCAAGAAATGTCGAGATTTGCTTTATTTCTGTTTAGTAACACATCACAGTTCTGCCACTATCTACATCTCTTTATGTGTATAATGCCATTGATATATAACCTGAACAACAACAAATATGTTTGTTTAGTGAATCTGCAAGAGGCAGGCTGCATAATAGACCAGACTTAAATCTGTCAAGATTAGCCTTTTTACAGTGAATTGAAGTTTGTAAACAGACTCATGTAACACTTTCAATGGTATTTCACTTGCTTATCCTCAGATAAAATGGATTTTGATGAGAACGTTCTGAAATTCATGCTGAGGAAACATCATGAGAAACGCAAACGGCAGCCTGTAAGTTAGCCATGACCCACTCTAATAGTGTTTCCACTTAATAAAGTAGCAAAGGAACTGGTAAAACGGCATCTCCAAATATCCACCTAATATCTTCCCTGATTATTTAGAAAGAAGTTGCACTGTGTTGAATTGAGTTTAGTCTTCTTGCTCAAAGTAAGCATCTAAGGCTTGTTGCTTAGATTGGCTGCAAAGAACAGGCATTCAGCCTCAAAGGCTGTAGGAGATGACAACAACAACAACAACAACAATGGGTTGCTATGAGTTTTCCAGGCTGTATGGCCATGTTCCAGAAGCATTCTCTCCTGACATTTTGCTGACATCCAGATGTGGGTGAATTATTATTATTATTTTATTTCATGCATTTATACCCCGCCTTTCTCCTCCCAAAGGGGGTCCCAGGGTGGCCTCACACAAGTATCATATGATGCTATCAGCATATAAATAGGAGCCCCCGGTGATGCAGTGGGTTAAACCCTTGTGCCGGCAGGACTGAAGACCGACAGGTCACAGGTTCGAATCCGGGGAGAGGCAGATGAAATCCCTCTATCAGCTCCAGCTCCTCATGCAGGGACATGGATGATAAAACATCAAATCATCCGGGTGTCCCCTGGGCAACATCCTTGCAGACGGCCAATTCTCTCACACCAGAAGCAACTTGCAGTTTCTCAGGTCACTCCTGACACGACAAAAAAAAGCATATAAACAATCAAAAATTACATTTTAAAAATTAACAATAATTAAAAACACATTATACAATTCATTAAACAATAAATTAAACATGCCAGTTAAAACCAAATCCAAGTCAGGGTAAATCCAATGTTTTTCCAATTACCGCTGTCCACGAATCGAACGCCTGGTCCCAAAGCCAAGTCTTCAATTGTCTTCTAAAGGACAGGAGGGAAGTGGCCAACCTGATGTCCTCAGGGAGAGAGTTCCACAGACGGGGGGCCACTGCAGAGAAGGCCTTGTCTCTCATCCCCACCAACTGCATTTGCAAAAGTGGTGGGATCAAGAGCAGGGCCTCTCTTGACGATCTTAAGCTACATGATGGTTCGTTGCACGAGATACATTCGGACAGGTATCAGGAGACGTCAGGAGTTGTCAGGAGAGAATGCTTCTGGAATATGGCTATACAGCCCAGAAAACTCACAGCAACCCATTATTGATTCCAGCCATGAAAACCTTTGACAACACGATAATAATAATAATCATCATCATCATCATCATATCCGACTTTTCCTCTCTAAAGAAGAAACTCAGAGTGGTTTACAGTAAAACCAATACAATACAGTTGAAGTCATCTTACGTCATGTCCAAAATAAAATAGCCTCAGTTTGGTCATTTTTGGCTTCTAAAACACGCTTGCTTGTAGATCAGAAGTAGTTTAGACTCATTATGCTTTTAGATAAGATTGAATAGAAGTAGTTTAAGAGATCCTCAGAGCCTTGAGGAGAGGCAGGTAAGAAAGAAAAGATATTATCATCATTCAGTAGGGAGATAGTATTCCAAGACATAGCCACAAAGAGTCTATTTCAGCATCAAAAGCTATGTGGAATTTTTCTAGCATCCTTGAAACTGAGAAGAAATACCTCGTAGCATAACTTTACATGGTGGAATTGGAATTGGAAAAATCTAGGAATCCTAAGAAAACGAATATTGAATAATATTGGCTTCTATGTATTTTATTTTTGCTTAGGATATAGTTCAAGCATGGGCAAACTTTGGCCCTCCAGGTGTTTTGGACTTCAAATCCCACAATTCCTAACAGCCAGTAGGCTGTTAGGAATTGTGGGAGTTGAAGTCCAAAACACCTGGAGGGCCAAAGTTTGCCCATGCCTAAATTATAGTTAGTGCAGAGGAGAAATATTTAAATGTGAAGCTTCACTTCTTGGTGGTTGCTCTTTTTGCTTTTCTCCTCATTGGGTGCCTCTATCGTCTATACAGAACCATCCTGATTTAATAACCGGGGATTTGACTCTGAATGACATCATGGCGCGTGTGAATGTGGGCAGAAAGGGATCCCTGGCAGGTTAGTGGTTAGAATATGATCCTGTAAACTCTTTTTGTATCTATTCTTTGGTATCTTACAACTTCATAATGTCACACAGTAATTTTTACCTTTTTTTTATAACCAAAAGCCTTGTTTGACCTTGCGGTGCTCAAAAAGAAAGTGAAGGAAAAGGAGGAGAAAAAGAAGAAAAAGCTAAAAGTGATTAAATCGGAGGCGGAAGACTTTTCAGAGTCCTTAGGAAACCCCGACGGAGGAATGCCCTCGATGTCTCGGGATCCATCCCCGATTCCTCCCATCTGGGATTCGCCATCTCTTCCATCAGTGAAGGAAGAGTAAGTTGCTTCTCAAAACAATGGATTTGGCCTATGAATAGTAAGAGGATAATTGTAGGTAATTTGTTTATATGTGAGTTATATTAATGTATTGTCGAAGGCTTTCATGGCCGGAATCACTGGTTGTTGTAGGTTTTTTCGGGCTATATGGCCATGTTCTAGAGGCATTCTCTCCTGACGTTTCGCCTGCATCTATGGCAAGCATCCTCAGAGGTAGTGAGGTCTGTTGGAACTAGAAAAATGGGTTTATATATCTGTGGAATGACCAGGGTGGGACAAAGGACTTGTCTGCTGGAGCTAGGTGTGAATGTTTCAACTGACCACCTTGATTAGCATTTAATGGCTTGGAAGTGCCTGGGGGGAATCTTTTGTTGAGAGTGATTTGATGTGCCTGATTGTTTACTCTCTGTTGTTTTGCTGTTGTAATTTTTGAGTTTTTTTAATACTGGTAGCCAGATTTTGTTCATTTTCATGGTTTCTTCCTTTCTGTTGAAATTGTCCACATGCTTGTGGATTTCAATGGCTTCTCTGTGTAGTCTGACATGGTGGTTGTTGGAGTGGTCCAGCATTTCTGTGTTCTCAAAATGTTGTGTCCAGGTTGGTGCAGCAGACAAGAGTCCTTTGTCCCACCCTGGTCATTCCACAGATATATAAACCCACTTTCCTATTTCCAACAGACCTCACTACCTTTGAAGATGCTTGCCATAGATGCAGGCGAAACGTCAGGAGAAAATGCCTCTAGAACATGGCCATATAGCCCGAAAAAACCTGCAACAAGAGTTATATTAATTGTATTGTTTTTTATTATTGTTTTTTGTTTTATTGATGTGTTGTCGGGCTTGACCTCATGGAAGTCGCTCCGAGTCCTCTTGAGGAGATGGTGGCAGGGTATAAATAAAGTTTTATTATTATTATTATTAAAGGTACAGGTTTGATCCTGACATTAAGTTCAGTCGTATCCAACTATGGGGGTTGGTGCTCATCTCCATTTCTAAGCTGAAGAGCAGGCGTTGTCTGTAGACACCTCCAAGGCCATGTGGCCGGCATGACTGCCTGGTACACTGTTACCTTCCCGTCGGAGTGGTACCTATTGATCTACTCACATTTAGAATCTTAGAGTTGGAAGAGACTGGCCATCCAGTCCAACCCCCTGCCAAAAAGCAGGAAAATTGCATTCAAATTACCCCCGACAGATGGCCATCCAGCTTCTGTTTAAAAGCTTCCATAGAAGGAGCCTCCACCACACTCCAGGGCAGAGAGTTCCACTGCTGAACGGCTCTCACAGTCAGGAAGTTCTTCCTAACATTCAGACAAGAAAGGATAGAATCTCCTTTCTTGTAGTTTGAAGCCATTGATCCACATCCTAGTCTCCAGGGAAGCAGAAAACAAGCTTGCTCTCTCCTCTCTATGACTTCCCTCACATATTGATACATGACTATCATGTCTCCTCTCAGCCTTCTCTTCTTCAGCTCATGCCCAGCTCTTTAAGTTGCTTATCATAGGGCTTGTTCTCCAGACCCAAAAAATTTCATGTTTTTGAACTTCTAGGTTGGCAGAAGCTGGGGCTAACAGCAGGCAGGCATGTCGCTTCCCAGATTCGAACATGCAACCTTTTGGTCAGCAAGTTCAGCAGCTCAACGCTTTAACCACTATGCCACCAGGGGCTCCAACTGTAGCTAAATGCAAATTAAATCTGATAAGTTTAGTATAAAAACACGTTTTTCCCTCAAAGGAGCAATGTTTCATTGTGAAGAATGATGTGGCCTGAGTGTATCTGTATATTCAGTGATGCAGAGTGATTAGGCATAATAGAATAATAGAATCATAGAGTTGGAAGAGACCTCATAGGCCAGCCAGTCCAACCCCCTGCCAAGAAGCAGGAATATTTCATTCAAAATGGATGAAATACGACAATGCGATGATATAATGTAAAAGGAAAAGCAAAGCACACCACCGTCAAAGAACAGTAGGAAGTGTGACTGAAAATACATGCACTGCTAGCAAGGAAATGCAAATTCCTAAAATATGCTAAGCCCTCATAGCTAAGACTTTGTGGTTATGGGAAAGACACATTCGTAACTGGTTCTGTTCGTGCGTCGTTTAAGGAACCTCTCACTTTTCACACCCTCACCTTCCAAATTTACATTTTTTTCCATGTTAGGAGCAACTTGGGAAACTGCAAGTCGCTTCTGGTGTGAGAAAATTGGCTGTCTGCAATCGGGTGATAGGGTGTTTTTTTTTGTAGGATTCCTTTTTTTTAAAAGTCTATTGGAAGCTGCTTTACATGTGAAAGGATAGGACAATACTATGTATTTCGTGGGAGCTGGGTTTTCTGATTAAACTAAATCATTATCTTTCTTCTGTCAAAGGCCTCTTGAAGATATCAAGCCCTGCCTTGGAATAAATGAAATTTCCTCCAGTTTTTTCTCTCTTCTTCTGGAGATTCTGCTAATAGAAGGGCCTTCTAGTCTCTCAGTGGTAAGAATTTGATTTTTGTGCATCTTTTCTCAGGGTTAAAAGTTACATTGAATTACAATTACCATTGTGAAGACTGCTGCAAGCCATTAGAATTGAAACTGATCAAAAGGAAGGATTGTGGAGAGAATATTGAGATGAGACATACAAAATTTAAAAATACAAACATTAAATTACATTTGAAATGTTAAAACTGTGGGTATTTAAGATTATTTGTGCGGGTGGGAAATGCAGCAGTAACTGGAACATTTCAAAATAAAAATAGATATCAATCAAATTACATTAATTGAGGCATCTGTAGGTTAAATGTTTTTGAATATTTACCTAAAACTGTAATTTAGGATAAGACTGTCCAACTCGGATGAAACCATTATTCTAACCTTCAGTATAAATGTGCTTATGTATCCTTCCAATAATAATAAAGAGAGTAAATAATAATAATAATAATAATAATAATAATAATAATAATAATAATAATAAATCCAATTCAACAGCCAGCAGAGTGTCTGCTGTGGACTCATCTTGTTGTGTTTCAATTATTAATAATAATGCTCTGGCACAAGCCAGTCAAGGTGGTCCCAGTGGTGATTGGTACACTGGGAGCAGTGCCTAAAGACCTTGGCCTGCACTTAAACACAATTGGTGCTGACAAAATTACCATCTGCCAGCTGCAAAAGGCCACCTTACTGGGATCTGCACGCATTATTCACCGATACATCACACAGTCCTAGACACTTGGGAAATGTCCGACGTATGATCCAGTACAACAGCCAGCAGAGTGTCTGCTGTGGCCTCATCTTGTTGTGTTTCAAATAATAATAATAATAACTGCGAAAGGCCACCTTACTTGGATCTGCGCGCATCATTCGAAAATACATCACACAGTCCTAGATGCTTGGGAAGTGTTCGACTTGTGATTTTGTGATACGAAATCCAGCATATAGATCTTGTATGCTGTGACATACTGTGCTTTTGTGTCGATAATAATAATAATAATATAGTAAAATAATACATTTAATAATAATAGAGTAAAATAATGTAAATAAATTAATGATAATAATAAATAGAGTAAAATAATAAATAGCCTTGTTTAAAGTATAAGCTGAGGGGGGCTTTTTCAGCCTAAAAAAGGGGCTAAAAAACTTGGCTTATATTTGAGTATATACCATATGTTTAATTTGTATGTGAAAGCAATTAGAACAGAAGTACAACGTACTGTTTTGATAGATGCCTTGACTTTAGAGGCAGAAGAGAAGTCAATTGTGTTTTTAATATCTTTTATTAGTTTTTTAAATTTTTCTATTTTCTTAAAAGGGGGGGGGGAGATATGTGGTGTAGGTTTGAAGTAGCATCTTCTTGAAAATTTAATAAAAACATTTTTTTTAAAAAAAGAAACTGTTAGAAGTAACAATTCCTGTGTCTCTGTGAGAAGCAATTGACCCAGCTATAAAGACATTTAAATCCCCAGTAGAGTGGCTGCAAAGCTTTTATTTATTTATTTGTTTGTTTGTTTGTTTGTGGCAAGCGAGTTAAACTGCTGAGCTGCTGAACTTGCTGACCAAAAGGTCGGTGGTTCAAATCCAGGGAAAGGGGTGAGCTCCTGCTGTTAGCCCTAGCTTCTACCAAGCTAGCAGTTCGAAATCATCCAACTGTGATTTGATCATTAGGTATCGGTCCGGCAGGAATGTAAAGGTGCTCCATGCAGTCATACTGGCCACATGACCTTGGAGGTGTCTACAGACAATGCCAGCTCTTCAGCTTAGAAATGCAGATGAGCACCAGCCTCCAGAGTCGGACACGACTAGACTTAATGCCATGGGGAAACATTTACTTTACCTATGGCAAGTGACAGCTTTTACATGGGAAAGCTTGATTCCACAACTCCCACTAAAATGAGCCCTCCTTCGTAAATTACCTGCTTCCCTCTTTTATCTCGCCCGAGTTTTTAATTAGTTTTTAATTAGTTTTAATCTGTTTGTCCTTTTAATCACTACATGTAGCCCGCCCATTATTATTGTGCCTGTGCATATTTTTTATTTTTTATATTGTTATGTATTTATATGTTTTATGTAACTATGATGTTATTGTTTATTGTTCGCGTTTTTGGTTTTTATAATTGTAATTGTTATTTGAGCTTGGCCTCATGTAAGCCGCTCCGAGTCCCCATTGGGGAGATAGTGGCGGGGAAATAAATAAATATTATTATTATTATTATTATTATTATTATTATTATTATTATTACAAGCGATACTAATTCAGATTGTCGCCTTCTTTTGCCCAGCTTGAGGATAAAGTTATGGACTGGCAGTCCTCTCCTGCGAGCACACTGAACAGCTGGTTCTCCTTTGCCCCAAACTGGTCCGAACTTGTTCTGCCGGCCCTGCAGTATCTCACAGGTGACAGTGCAGGTAGGTCCTATCGCTTCAATCCATAGAAAAACCAGAATTGCTGCCTTAAGTATTTGCTGCAAATTCAGACAAGTTAGTGTCAGATTGCAGAGCTTGCCGTTGCACTTCTTGGAGCGTTGCAGGCATCTCGCATGTCTAAAGTGCTGGCATTAGACTTAAAGCAGTATCAAACCGCTGATTCTGTCCCTCAGATGCTCGGTTCAGAGATCCAGAAGTGAAATTAGCCCTAAAGTTATGTGTTTTATGCAGCCATGCCAGTGTGGACTGATCGTCTCAATGGCTCAGTGTCCTTCTACAAATGGAATACTGTTTCTGTTACTGTAAGGGCTTTCCCCAGTTTAGTGTTACACAAAAGATGTGTCATCTCTAGGGGTTTTTTTTTCCAGAAATGTACTTATTTATTTAAAACTTTTATATCCCCATCTTCTCTACTTCTGCAGAGGAACTCAGACTGGCTGACAGCAAAGATTCAATGCTAACATTAAAATCTAAAACAGTGGTTCTCAACCTTCCTAATGCTGCGACCCCTTAATACAGTTCCTTATGTTGTGGTGACCCCCAACCATAACATTATTTTCATTGCTACTTCACAACTGTAATTTTGCTACTGTGATGAATCATCTTGTAAATATCCGATATGCAGGATGTATTTTCATTCATTTGGCACAAATACTTGATACCCCTGATTTGAATACTGGTAGGGTTGAGGGGAGGATTGATTTTGTCATTTGGGAGTTGTAGTTGCTGGGATTTATAGTTCATCTACAGTATCAAAGGGCATTCTGAACTCCACCAATGATGGAATTGAACCAAACTTGAAACACAGAGCTCCCATGACCAACAGAAAATACTAGGAGGGTTTGGTGGGCTTTGACCTTGGGTTTTGGAGTTGTAGTTCACCTACATCCAGAGAGCACTGATGCATCTGGACCAAACTTGATACAAATACTCAATATGCCCAAATGTTGACACTAGTGGGGTTTGGGGGAGATAGATCTTGGCATTTGGGAGTTGTAGTTGCTAGGATTTATAGTTTACCTATAATCAAAGAGCATTCTGAACTCCACCAATGATAGAATTGGGCCAAACTTCCCACACGGAACCCCCACAACTGACAGAAAATACTGTGCTTTCTAATTGTCTTTGGCGACCCCTCTGACACCCCCTTGCGACCCCCCCCCCAGGGGTCCCGACCCCGAGGTTGAGAAACACTGATCTAAAACATAATGCAACAACATTACATTACCAAATGCATATAGGATAAATTACAGAAAAGCCATTCGCCAAGATAAAATCGTGTCCAGCTCACTCCGTATATTCAGTCCTTATATTGTGGTCAGTAACTTTGTTCGATTGCCGGTCTCAGACATTATTCGTTCCGCAGCCAGGTTTTCACTAGCTTCCTAAAGGTCAGGAGGGAGAGGCCAGATCTAATTTCATTTGGGAGGGAATTCCATAGCCGAGGGGCCACCACAGAAAAGGCCCTGTCTCTCGTCCCCACCAGTTGCGCCTGCGAAGGTGGCGGGATCGAGAGCAGGGCCTCTCCAGATGATTTTAACACTCTTGATGGTTCATAGGGGAGAATACGTTCAGACAGGTAAACTGGGCTGGAACCGTATAGGGTTTTGTAGGTTAAAACCAGCACTTTAAATTGTGCTCGGAAACTAATTGGCAGCCAGTGGAGTTGGCGCAACAAGGGAGTTGTATGCTCCCTGTACCCTGCTCCCATTAGTAGCCTGGCTGCTGAGCGTTGGACTAATTGCAGCTTCTGGGCAGTCTTCATAGGCAACCCCATGTAGAGAGCGCTGCAGTAGTCTATACGGGATGTAAACAGAGCGTGGACCACTGTGGCCAAAGTAGTTTAATTAACAAAGTAGTTTCTCCTTGCTTCGTCAGATCTGGCCCCATACTATAAATATGTTGAATTTTCGCATAATCCTATTGTCTTGAGTTAAAATTGCTACAGTTATATCTGAACATTTTTTCCCTGTTTTGGTTGCAGATGCTCCTTCCACGTCTTCTCCATTTGTGGAATTCAAGGAAAAAACTCAGCAGTGGAAACTGATAGGTAATTTTTCCTGCCTTATGTTAATACATGTCAGCTGACCTCTTGAGCCATTTAGCTTCTAAATATTTATTTATTTATTTATTTATTTATTTATTTATTTACGACCTTTATATGTCACCCTTCTCACCCCAAAGGGGACTCAAGAGCGGCTTACAAGACTTATATACATACAATATATTATATTATTAGCATAGTACAATATCAGAATTAAATATTACTGTATTGTACTATACTGTTATATTGTAATATTATTAGTAATATAAATATATAATTATAATATCATATTATTTGTAGTATTATAGTGCATTATATTATAATATTATAAATATGTTGTTTGAGGGTTTGAGTACCGCTGGTGGCACAGTGTGTTAAACCGCTGAGCTGCTGAACTTGCTGATCAAAAGATTGGCGGTTCAAACCCAGGGAGTGGGGTGAGCTCCCGCTGTTAGCCCCAACTTCTGCCAACTTATCAGTTCGAAAACATGCAAATGTGAATAGATCAATAGGTTCTGCTCTGGCAGGAACTTAACGGTGCTCCATGCATCATGCCAGCAAAATGACCTTGGAGGTGTCTATGGACAATGCCGGCTCTTCGGCTTAGAAATGGAGATGAGCACCACCCCCCTGAGTCGGACACGACTAGACTTAATGTCAAGGGAAACCTTTACTTTTACCAGCAGCAGTCTTTATCATTCCCTTTCTTGCTGCCTATTACTGTTATATGTGCCTTGTTTTCGAGCTTATCTAAAACTGGAATGGTTCTATTTATTTTAACATATAAATATTTTCAAGCATTGGATCTTGAATTAGACTGCTCTTTAAAGCTGGCATCTGAGTCTTCTACTATGAAGCTGTTAAGTTCTCTCTCTCTCTGCATTTCTTCCCTTTCTTTTTGAGTCATGGCAAGAAATTTAAATATGCTTCATTCCATTTGAGGTTTCGGAGACCATTGGTTTGCATTTTGGGTCTAACGTACATTCCTTAGACCAAACCTCTTCAACTTGTGGCCTTCCAGGTGTTTTGGACTTCAGCTCCCAGGATTCCTGACCATTGGAGAAGCTGGTGAGGGCTTCTGGGAGTTGGAAGCCCAAAGATTGAAGAGGCCTGCCTTAAATGGCTGTGTATTCAGATCTTATGTACTACTATAACAGGCATGGGCAAACTTTAGCCCTCCAGGTGTTTCTGACTTCAACTCCTACAATCCCTAACAACTGGTAGGCTGTTAGGGATTGTGGGATTTGAAGTCCAAAACACCTGGAGGGCTAAAGTTTGCCCATGCCTGTACTATAAGATGAATAATAATAGTTGTTCACAGTAATCCATCTTTTCTGCTTTCTGATGCCCAAGGTTCTTCCCAAGACCATGAGAAGGAGCTGGCAGCACTCTTTCAGCTGTGGTTGGAAACAAAAGATCAGGTCTTCTTCAAGGTGAGATAAATATGGTAGTATTTAGAAGCAAAGGGACATTAACACTTGTACGTCTTTGTTTGATTTATTTATTTAACACAAGCCTTTTTACTTCACTTCCTGCGTAGAGAGATCACTTCCCCCTTCTTCCAAAAGCAGGCAGAACTGTGCAATACAATTTATTATTATTGTTATTATTATTATTATTTTACTGACAGAAAAACACGGTATGTCACAGCAAACGAGATACATATGCTGGATTTCGTATCACAAAATCACAAGTTGAACACTTCCGAAGCGTCTAGCACTGTGTGATATATTATTATTATTATTATTATTATTATTATTATTATTATTATTATTATTATTTTACTGACAGAAAAACACATGTCACAGCAAACGAGATACATATGCTGGATTTCGTATCACAAAATCACAAGTCGAACACTTCCCAAGCATCTAGCACTGCGTGATGTATTATTATTATTATTATTATTTTACTGACAGAAAAACACAGTATGTCACAGCAAACGAGATTTATATACTGGATTTCGTATCACAAAATCAAGTCGAACACTTCCCAAGCGTCTAGCATGTATTATTATTATTATTATTATTATTATTATTATTATTATTGCCACTAGTTCTTTGTTTGGGAAGGGAGCATCCATGAAGCTCCTGCCTTAGGGATGGTTTACATTTATTTATTTATTTACACTATTTCTACGCTCATATCAACCTGAAGGTGACTCAGGGCGGCGAACAAGTTGGCACAATTCGATGCCATATATAAAATACATACATTAATAAAAGTAAAAAACATCTCAAAACATTTAAAAGCATAAAAACAGCAAATCTACACATGAGAGCCAATTTATAGGGTTTTTTTTTACTGATACTCTTTGACCCGCTCCTTTCCTAATCCAGATGGACTTTTTAATTTTTTTTGCAGAAGCACCCTAAGCATTTTCTCCTACCATATCACACTGGCTATGGTGCACTGTGTTTCCTATAGATACCTAATGTTCGTATGGGCACATCAACTGTCCTGATATTATACTTCTCATTGCAGGACAACGAAGATAGCTCAGATGCTACTATACCCGTTCCCCGAGTGTAAGTATATAATTGCTTCAGAAATCTGCCGAAATCACCAAAGCTGTGGAATGAACATTATTGACTGTTTCTCAAAGCTTTGCTGTTTCTCATCTCCAGCAGAAACTAGGAACATCTTTTTTTCTCATTGACTTCCAACATACTTGTCTATTTGAGCCATAGTTTTCCTAATGCAGAGTCCCCATTTGCCAATTTATTTTTCACTTGGCGAGGAGCATTTCTGCATAACAGTGCCGCCATAATACTGTTGTATTACACAATGGAGGCCCTATTTTTGGGGTTGTATTCTCCCAAGCCTCACACTGTTGTTTGTTTCAGAAGGACTGACTATGTGGTCCGGCCTAGCACCGGGGAAGAGAAGCGTGTGTTCCAGGAACAGGTGAAGACCACATGCATCCTGTGTTATATATTGTTGGGTAACGACAAAGGTTTGTGAGGGTGCTCTTAGAAATTAGCCAACAGCAGGACAGCATGGAACCATTGAGGCAATTCTAGCATTAAATGCAGACTGAGTTTCTATTGGCAGTATGTAGAGCTTGACTGCAGAACAGCTAATATTTGACCTCTTAATGCAGGCACGGGCCAACTTTGGCCCTTCAGGTTTTTTGGACTTCAACTCCCACAATTCCTAACAGCTGGTAGTTGCCTGGCTTAATGCTACAGAATGCTGTAAAATATTTTATGCATTTTAAGAGCATTAAGAGGTCAAAAAAATAATTGCCGCCTGAACTCTTACGACCAACAGAAAACACTAGAAGGGTTTGGTGAGCGTTGATCTTGAGTTTGGGAGTTGTAGTTCACCTACCTCCAGAGAGCACTGTGGACTCAAACAATGATGAATCTGGACCAAACTTGGCACAAATATTCCATATGCCCAGATATGCACACAAATAGAGTTTGGGGGAAATGGACCTTGACATTTGGGAGATGTAGTTACTGAGATTTATAGTTCACCTACAATCAAACCCCACCAACAATATAATTGGTCCAAACTTCCCACACAGAACCCCCATGACCAAGAGAAAATACTATGTTTTCCGGTGGTCTTTCGTGACCCTTCTGAACACCCCCTTATGTCATCGTCCCCCAGGGTACCAACCCCCAGGTTGAAAAATGCTGCCTTAAGGCCAAAAATTAAAAAAAATACATTACAACACATGTGCAAAACCACATATATACACATATACACAAATATATACACACATATATGCACACACAAAACACATATACACAAACTGGGCCACAGCAACACGTGGCAGGGAACAGCTAGTAAATAATAATAATAATCTGTTTTGTGTGACAGCTCCCATCACTTGATTATCCACCATGCAGACTGGAGATAATGGGCCAGATAAAATGACATAGCAGGAAAGAGTAGGCCTGTGGGACTTTAGTTTGACACATGCGCACTAAGCCATAACTAAGCCTAGAGGGTCAGGAAAGCGCGGAATCGTACATTACTTCCTTCCTACATGATACATCCCCCTTTTTACTCATGGTCTTGTATTTATGTCTGATCAAGGTAACCTTGGCTCAAACAAACCTGGGAATCCTCTATACATATCCAGTGAGCTGTTAGTCACTGTTTCAAAGAGTGGTGACTCTTTAACAGACACCTTGTTGCATGTTGTACTATTGCTGAAATATAAGCCATCACTCTTCCTAATTTCAGTCTTTATTATTAAACCAAATATAAAAATTAATAATGTTTGCTGCTCATTTGGAAATGTGTGTTCTCTTTCTTACCTGGGTGCCCTTCTTTCCCACATGCGCAGGAGCGTTACCGATACAGCCAGCCCCATAAAGCATTCACGTTCCGCATGCACGGCTTTGAGTCAGTGGTAGGTCCCGTGAAGGGCGTGTTTGACAAGGAGACATCTCTGAACAAAGCCCGAGAACACTCTTTGCTCCGATCAGACAGGCCTGCGTATGTCACCATCTTGTCACTTGGTAAGTTGGCGTTCCCACATGTGAGTGGGAGGTGGACTGCTGCCATATGCGTATTTTCACAAAGATGAAAGGGAATGGTCAGCAATGCTGCTGTATGGAATGTGATTTGTTTACGCTGAGGCACTTGGAAAATTGGGTTTTGAAGTGCAGAATCTGAACAAAAGTTCAATTGTTGATATCTCCTGTTAAAGGAGACATGGCAGTGATTCCATGGAGACAGATCTTCAAGCTACTGCCATGTCTTTTTTTAATCTGGGATGCCAATTAAAAGTTTTTTTTTAAAGATCAGAATAGGAAGATATGGAAAAGGTGCAGCTATCTTTGAATACTTGTTAATGCAGTCCAGTAATACCAGATTTGCCGTTAGCTCTCCAACTTCTCAGGCAAAGATCTTGCTCATCATCTATTTCCTTGTTGCATTGCTGAAGGCTTTCATGGCCGGAATCACTGGGTTGTGAGTTTTCTAGACTGTAAGGCCATGTTCCAGAGGCATTCTCTGGAACATGGCCTTGCAGCCTGGAAAACTATGGATGCCTGCCATAGGTGCAGGTGAAACGTTAGGAGAAAATGCCTCTGGAACATGGCCTTACAGTGTGGAAAACTCACAACAACCCAGTACTTCTCTATTCTTTGTGAAATTGGAGAGGAGAGGATTGAAGTTGGTTGGGTTTCAAGCCTGGGCAACTTGGGTTGTCCAGGTGTTTTGGGTATAGTGTGTCTGTTGACCCTAATCAGCAGATGTTTTGAACTCTGAAAACATCCAGTTAACCATAGCTGCCTGATGTGGGAAAAAGTCCTTATTTGGGAGAAGATGGTTGTCAGAAGTATTAAAAATGAATTATGTATTTTTGATTACAAAAATGTGAGTCAGGTACTAAAAGAGTTAGTAGGCTGAAGCCTGTTAGAGTCAGTGGGCCAAAGCTAGTGTCGTCCTGAGGAGTGTGAGAGAAGCCTCTGTGTGTGTGAGAAGACCTGGTGTGAGAAGCTTCGATGAGAGAAGCTCCAGGTTGAAGGCCTAATGTGTAAAGCTCCAGTATAAAGGCTGCTGTATGTAAAAGGGCTACTGTGTGAAGTTTAAGTATAAGTTTGTTGTGAGAGGAAGCTCTGTGAGAGCAAAACTGTTTATCTAGGTATTTTTAATAACAAAAATGTGAGACAAGCACTGAAGTGTTAAATGAATACAATGACTCAGCAAAAGCTGTAGTTCAATATAAGCAGGTGTACCTATAGCTTAGTAGCACTCAGTCTGTGAGAGGCCTCAGTGGGAGAAAGGGCTCAGTGGGAGATAGGCCTCAGTATGGGAAGGCCTGGTGGGAGAACCTTCTGTGAGAGAAGTCTCAGGTTGAAGGCCATTGTGTGTGAAGCTCCAGTGAAAAGGTTGCTGTGTGTAAAGCTACTGTGTAATTTTGGTGTGAGAAGAGGCTCTGTGAGAGTGAAGCTGTTTATCTGCATGAGGAAGAAGCTCAGCATGGAAGCAAAGAAGAAAGTATAATGGACTTTATTTGTGTTGTGGAAACCTTGATATTGTAAACAATGCAACTACATTATCTTGCTACAAAGAAAAACCTCCTGTGGAAGAGATAATATTGGTCTGTGTGTTTTTGTTCTTTTTGTCACTTGGGCTACTGGTGCTGGGTCACACTGCTGCTGATAAGTTACTCTGCTGTACATTTATGAGGAGGGTCTTTTGTTAATAAGCCCACTCGGCTTTGATTGCTATCAAAGGTAATATTGGAATGACAGCACAACTCAGAGTTGAGGTAATTAGGACATGAATAGTTTGAGAGCAACTCTTTCTGTTTCAGCTTTGACTATGGTTTGATATTTTTTGCTGTCTCAGTCCGGGATGCTGCTGCCCGCCTTCCGAACGGAGAAGGGACTCGTGCCGAAATTTGCGAGCTGCTTAAAGACTCCCAGTTCCTTGCGCCTGATGTCACGAGTGCTCAGGTAACTGCCAGGCAGCCATTACTTCTTCTTTCACAAGAGTTCATTTGAGGAAAAATACTTCCCGCTAAATGTGGGAAGATTTCATGGTGGATTTTAGAGCCCTTCCTTTCACAGCTTTGGGCAGGTTTGCAGAGTTGTACAGTTGGGCTGGGATGTAGAATTGCAATGCAGTACTGCATAGAGTTAGTGTCAGATATATGATGTCCATGGAAGACATACGTCTTGATACGGAGAGATCTGTCATTATATGTAGACAGATTCATGGGTGTTCTCTGTGTCTTTTGCCATTGCAGATTGAGATAATTTAGGGACAAGGTTCCTTTTCATGTGTCAGTACCCTTTTCTCCCTTTCCTATCTGCACACTTGCTATGATGACTCCCAGTTGGATCCATTTTCCTTCTTATTCCTCTTTCCAGGTTAACACTGTGGTGAGTGGGGCACTAGATAGACTGCATTATGAAAAGGATCCCTGTGTAAAATATGATACTGGGCGTAAACTGTGGATATATCTTCACCGAGACAGGAGCGAGGAAGAATTTGGTAGGTGCTCTGTAAAGGATATTTGTTGGGGTTCAACCTGTGTGTGAACCTGAACCTGATTCTCTGATTGTATTCCCTGATGCAATGTAGATGTCAATGTGAATTCTGAGGCCAATTTAGATTGTGATGGTTTGAGTAGTGAAAATCCTACAGCCTTGGAAAGTGAAATTCAAAATTCCCATGAGAACATGCATTCTGAGCCGAGCGGAGAAGTTTCACTCCCTTTTCCTCCCAGCCTTAGTTCTCCAGAGAATCTGACACCTGATCTGCCTAATGAGGATGGGCAGGGGCAGATTTGGCAGAGCCGAGGAGGAGCACAAAGTTTACGTAGGTCAGCCAGATTGAGAGAAATGCAAACAAAAACATCAGGTGTATCTCGCAATAGATTTCTCAGCCTTAAGTACGCTTGGCCTGAATGCAGCTTCAGACCAGGCATCATTCCAGATTCATGTGCAAACTTTTGCAGGTCTCCTGATTCAAGTGGCCTTGTTCCTCGGAGGTTTTCTAGTTGTTCCAAGTACAGTTAGTGGATTGCTAACAGACTCCAGGATTCAGCAGTTTTGCTGTGGGTTTTAATGATCTTGTTTATGGACATTTCTTGTTGCTGATTTTTACTGTGACTTTTTACCTTTGCATTTTTCCTCTATTTTGTATTCATCTTTCCTCAATAAAAAATGATTGTTTTCCTGAAGTCAAATGTGGTGGATGGTTGTCTGAGGGTCCAGTTTCCTGCTCTGGGTTGCAACAATATTAGACTATTTGCAGTAGCATTAGGGTAATAATAATAGTAATAATAATAATGTAGGATATGATAGATTTGTAGAGTCTTACTTAAAATGTAGAGAAGAGATCCCATATCTCCCAATAGAACATTCAAGGGTACTCTGTGCAGGAACGGAGCCTTTTGCATGTAACACTAAGTAGCGTGTAAATAAGGCTAAACTCTAGAGGATATTAAACTACCGATTTTACAGTAACATTAGGGTAATAATAATAGCAATAATAATAATTTAGGGAAAGATGGATTTGTAGAGTCTTACTTAAAATGTAAACCAGAGAACCTATATCTCCCCATATATAACATTCAAGGGTACGCAGATTGTGCAAGAATAAAGCCATTTGCTTGTACAACTAAGTATCGTGTAAATAAGGCTAAGCTGAATGTGATGTTTTGAAAAGGTGTGTTAACACATTCTGGGCTGCTAGGTTTTTTTCCCTAAAATGATGATATAAACATGTTTTGACCTATTTACTGTGAATTCTGTCATCAGAAAGATGGAACATATAATTTCCCTCTTGTTCCTTGTTCATCATTGAGACTGAAAAGCATAAAAGCCTCCTCTGAACACATTGATAGAAAATGTCATATTTATCTGTTCAGAGCTTTGGTTATTTTCTAATACCTGCTTCTCCCTGGCTGGCAAATTATGCTGTTTTCTGTTAATTTTCTGTTAATTGTGGACTAGAAATTCTTGTAATGACACATGGACTAAAAAAAAAAGACTATTGATCTGTGCAGCTTTTTTATTAGCATTTGTATGAGAATTCTGCTTCCTTTTCCTTGCAGAGCGGATCCATCAAGCTCAAGCTGCGGCAGCAAAGGCCAAGAAAGCTCTTCAGCAGAAGCCCAAGCCTCCTGCTAAAATAGTAAGTTCCCGATGGAAATCTGTATTGCAATGGCAAGGACTGGATTTATGAACATTTGCATTCAAAGCATATGCCATTAATAGAATCCTAGAGTTGGAAGAGACCCCCAAAGATCATCCAATCCAACCCCCTTGTGCCATAAAGGAAGGCACCATCAAAGCCCAGTCCACTTGTACTTCAAACCAGCTCATTCTGTTGAATGTATTTTGAATCTTTGTTTATTGGCGAGTTTAAGTGATGATAAAACACTTTACTTACTTATTTATAGACTTGGTGGCTTAAGGATACTTCTTGTTTCGTTGCAGAAATCCAGCAGCAAGGAGAGCTCAGGGAAAGTGGCTCCGAGCGCCGCCTCCGAGCCAAGCCAGCTGAGCCTCAGCGACTCCAGCATGCCAGCCACGCCTGTGACGCCAGTGACCCCCACAGCCCCTCTGGTACCAGCAATGCCTATTTCACCACCACCAACACCAGCAGTTTCTGTGGTTAGCAAGAATTTGCCGAGTGTTACATCAGAACAAGCTAAACCCAATCAAAGGTAACCCTTGGATCTTGGATAGTAGTGGGAGAAGCAGTCCCTGGAATTGATTTGGAGGGATTCCTTGTTACTTACTTAGGCGATCCCTCGTTGTCCGAGTAGGATAGTCTTCCAAGATCAGTGTCCTGGCGATGGGTCCGTAGGTGACTGCGGACCCCTATTCTTGCCCTGAATCTTCTCCCACAGTGAGGGCATTGGTTTCCAGGTGGAAGGCGGTCTCGATCGGGGTTGACTTAATGCGCCTTCCTCTTGGCACATTTCTCACTTTCGCCCTCCATGCCTCTTCAAATTCTACAGCTTCCCAGTTCTCAGTGTCTATGCCAGAGTTTTTAAGGTTGGCTTGGAGCCCATCTTTGAATCTCTTTTCCTGTCCTCCAACATTCCGTTTTCCGTTCTTGAGTTCGGAGTAGAGCAACTGCTTTGTGAGATAGTGGTTGGGCATCTGGACAACATGGATGGTCCAGCGGAGTTCATGGCAGAGGACCATCACTTCAGTGCTGGTGGTCTTTGCTTCTTCCAGTACGCTGACATTTGTCCACTTGTCTTCCTAAGAAATTTGCAGGATTTTTCATAGGTAGCACTGATGGAATCATTCCAGGAGTTGCATGTGACGTCTGTTGATAGTCCACGTCTCGCAGGCATATAGCAAGGTTGGGAGGACAAATAGCTTTATAAACAAGCACCTTGGTATCCCTACGGATGACCTCATCCTCAAACTCTGCTTCATTTGGAAAAATGCTGCACTAGCAGAGCTCAGGTGGTGTTGAATTTCAGTGTCAATGTTGACTTTTGTGGAGAGCTGGCTGCCAAGGGAGCGGAAATGATCAACATTTTCTAATGTTACACCATTAAGCTGTATTTCTGGCATTGCAGAGGGATTGGCTGGTGGCTGCTGGAAAAGCACTTTGGTTTTCTCGATGTTCAATGACAGGCCGAGCTTCTCGTATGCTTCTGCAAAGGAGTTTAGAGTGGCTTGTAGGTCTTCTTCTGAATGCGCACAGACGACGTTATCATCAGCATATTGGAGTTCTATAACATATGTTGTAACCTTGGTTTTGGCTTTCAGTCTGCTGAAGATAAATAGCTTGCCATCTGTCTGATAGATGATTTCCACTCCGGTGGGAAGCTTCCTGTCAACAAGATGAAGTAGCGATGAAGATGGAGAATAAAGTTGGGGCAATAACATATCCCTGTTTGACACCTGAATCCATCTTAAATGGGTCACTTTGGAAGCCATTGCTATCCAAGACTGTCGCCATCATGTCAATCTGATTTAAAACCCAGGGAGGAGAAAAGCCATCCTGCATGGCAAATCTAGTTCCTGGAGCGACTAGGTGTCTTGAGTTACTGATGACAGATGACAGCAATAAGAGATTGTCTGCATCTTGTTCACCTCCTGGTATTGAATGAAGTTCCACCAGGCTCTTTGTCTGGGAAGCTGATGACTTTGGGTTTTGGCAACTCTACGAAGGGACCTGCTTCTTCTCTTATTATAATGTGCCCCAGTCCTACATCATTTTCTCCTCCTCACCATGGCATAACATCCTAAAATGCGACATGAAACATCAGTTGAAAACATGTAGCACAGTTAAAGCTGTTAAGGAAAGAAACATCTCCCCGTTGGGGAAGATGGTGGCGGGGTATAAATAAAGTTTATAATAATTATTATTATTGCTCCTGATATGAGAAAAAAATTGAACTGCATTATATGGGTAGTGTAGGCTCATATAATACAGATTGAACTGTGTCGAACTGAATTATATGCATCAATCTGCATTCTAATGGCAGTGTAAGTGGGGCCTAAGGCTGGATCTACACTGCCAAATAATGCAATTACAGAATGCAGATTAACTGCATTGAACTGCATTATATAGCAGTGTGGCTCCAACCTTAGAAAGAAAAAGTTCAAATTTCCTCACTGCCTAAGCAACATGGAAGCATGGCAGTCAAAAGCACTTTTCAGTCTGTCCAGCTGATTGGAGAAATGTGTTCAAATAATATTTCTGGCAAAAAAATGAAATAATTGTATTACACGTGATCCGGTGCTACCGTTTTTTAAACAGTCCTACTCTGCATTTTTATTTGTCTATTTCATAGAATCATAGAGTTGTAAGAGACCACATGAGCCATCTAGCCACAATCAAAGAACCCCTAATAGATGTTTATTTCAGCTAACAGTGTGTTTTCCCTCTCTGATTTCTGGATAGCATCCTTTTGGTGTCTTCTCCCACCATGCCTCAGCTTGGCACACTGCTCTCGACCACGCAAAGTCCTCCTGCACAGACTCAGCCGCCTCCTCCTCCTCGTGTGACCAGCCACTCATCCCCTTCAGGACTCCCGCAAGTCCGAGTGGTGACAGCACCCACTAGCCTCCCTCCTGTCTCCCAGCCGGCCCCAGCAACAACACAGCCGCCACCAGTAGCAGCACCTGCCCCTCCGATCCGTGTACCTTCGACTTGTGCACAAACTAAAGTCCTGCCTCAGGTGAGCAAAAGCAAGCTAAGAATTGTTCAAGGGTTATATAAAAGAGCGGCATTTAAAAGCCATCCTGAGACCCCCTTCGGGGGTAGAGAAGTGATGGGATAGAAATACCAGGAATCTATATCAATAAAAATGTAATGTTAGTTTGTGGGATTAACATAACTCAAAAACCACTGGACAAATTGACACCAAATTTGGGCACAAGATGCCTATCAGGCCAACGAGTGGCCATCACTCATAAAAACACTGAAAAACACAGCAGCCGAGAATAAAAATCCAAGAAATAAAAAATACATTATATCGCATGCACAAAAGCACATATATATATATATATACAGCGGGATTAACATAACTCAAAAACCAGTGGATGAATTGACACCAAATTTGGACACAATACACCTATCAGACCAACAAGTGACCATCACTCATAAAAACACTGAAAAACATAGCAGAAGAGACTTTAAAAGTCAAGAAATAAAAAATACATTACAACGCATGCGTAAAACCACATATATATACAGTGGGATTAACATAACTCAAAAACCACTGGACGAATTGACACCAAATTTGGACACAATATACCTATCAGGCCAACGAGTGACCATCACTCATAAAAATATGGAAAAACACAGCGGAAGAGACTTTAAAAGCCAAAAAATAAAAAATACATTATAACACATGTGCAAAACCACATATATACACATATGCACATACATAAACACACAAAACAGATATACATAGACTGGGCCACAGCACTGTGTGGCAGGGGACAGCTAGTAAATAATAAATAAATAAATAAATATTTCCAAAAGTCTTTCTGAAGGCATGGAGAATTGGGTTGCTGTGAGTTTTCTGGGCTATATGGCCATGTTCCAGAAGCATTATCTCCTGATGTTTCACTTGCATCTATGGCAGGCATCCTCTGTGGTTGTGAGGTCTGTTGGAAGCTAGGCAAGTGGGGTTTATATGTCTGTGGAATAATATCCAGAGTGGGAGAAAGAACTGTTGTCTGTTCGAGGCAAGTGTGAATGCTGCAATGCCTGTTATAGATGCAGTCGAAACGTCAGGAGAGAATGCTTCTGGAACATGGCCAGACAGCTCAGAAAACTCATAGCAACCCAGTCATACCGGCCATGAAAGACTTTGACAACAGGGATGGAGGATTCTTGTTTTGTTGTTTCTGGTTTTATGAGGCATCCTGGAACCGAATGAATGAATGAATGAATGAATTAAATGGGTTTGCTGAAAAGGGATGATTGCCTTTGTTGCTAAGCACTTCCTACCCCCATTATTAGGCTGTTATGACGGTTCCAGTGAAAGCCCAGAGCAGCCCAGTCCAGACGCAAAGACCGGCTGTAACAGGGGCAGCCAGTGTTGCAGGCATTGGAATTTCTACAGCCCCGAGCCCTGCTCCAAAACCCACAAGCAGTTCTCCTAGCAGCTCTGCACCCAACGTCTCTACTATTTCTTTATCACCGTCAACACAATCGTCTTTGTCATCTTCCTCCTCTTCATCCACTGCTGTCCTCCAGAATGTTGCTGGCCAAAATATTATCAAACAGGTAAGAGCTGCATGCAGTTCCATGGATTTTGTATAGAAAATTTATTTATTTTTCTACTTCGCCCCCTCTCACCCCGAAGGGGGCTCAGAGCAGCTTACAAGTTATATGTATATACAATATATTATATTATTAGCATAGCACAATATTAGTATTATATATTGCAATATTGTACTATACCACTATAATGCAATATTATGAGTAATATTACAAGTAATATATAATATATAATATTATATTGCATTATTATTAGTATTATATTATATTGCATTATATTATGATCAATATGATATGTGCATACCATATATTATTAGCATAGCATAATATTAGTATTATATATTACTATATTGTAGTATATCAAATTTATTGCAATATTGTTAGCAATCTTACATGTATATAAGGAGCCCCCAGTAGCGCAGTGGATTACACTGCTGAGCTGCTACATACCGAAAGGTCGCAGGTTCAAATCTGGGGAACGAGGTGAGCTCCCTCTGTTAGCCCTAGCTTCTGCAACCTAGAAGTTTGAAAACGTGAGTAGATCAATAGGTATTGCTTCAGCTGGAAAGTAACAGCGTTCCATGCAGTCATGCTGGCCACATGACTTTGGAGGTGTCTACGGACAATGCCGGCTCTTTGGCTTAGAAATGGAGATGAGCACCACACCCCCAGAGTTGGACATGACTAGACTTAATGTCAGGGGAAAACCTTTACCTATTATTATCAGTATTATATTGTATTACATTATAATATTATGACCAATATTGTATGTACATACAATATATTATATTATTAAAATACACAATATTAGTAATTATATTAGTAATATTATTAGTAATATTACATGTAATGCATAATATACAATTATTTTATTCTATTATTATTTGTAGCATTATATTGTATTACATTATAATATTATTATCAATATTATATGTTGGTTTTATGTACTGGTCTTTTGGTGAGAGGAGATAAGAGGCTGGAGTGATGGAAACAGGTTGTGATTGGTGGAATGCCTACGTGGATGGTTGCAGGGAAAAAGAATCAAACTCAGCATGATAGGTTTTGCTTTATAGGTGGCTATTACTGGACAACTTGGCATGAAAAGCCAGCCTGGGACCAGCATCCCGCTCACCACTTCCAACTTCCGCATCCAAGGCAAGGATGTCCTACGCCTGCCTCCCTCTTCCATCACGACCGATGCCAAAGGGCAGACCGTTCTCCGCATCACCCCAGACATGATGGCTACTTTGGCCAAGTCGCAGGTCACCACTGTGAAACTGACGCAAGACCTTTTCTCAAGTGCTGCCGCCGGGAGCACTTCTGCCGGGAAGGGCATCTCGGCCACTCTGCGCGTGACGTCCAGCCCCATCCAGTCTTCTGACTCTCCGGCCAAGACCAGCACTCCGGCCTTGGCCTCCCCAAGCTCTGCTGGGTCCACAGTGGTGAAAGTGACTCCGGACCTGAAGACGGTGGAGTCTGCTGGTTCGGCCTTCCGACTGATGCCAGCTTTGGGCATGACTGTCGCAGACCAGAAGGGCAAAGCCATCACGACGGTGGCTACCACAGAAGGCAAGCCAGCCACCACTATCAGGATTGTACAGGGGATGGGAGTGATGCCCCCGAAAGCTGGGCAAACCATTACGGTCGCCACTCATACCAAGCAGATGCCCTCTTCCTCTTCTGTGAGCATGCCTGGCACCGTCCTTACCTCGGCTGTCTCTCTGCCGACCATGTCGGCATCGGTATCCAAAGCAGTGGCTGTTGTGTCGGGAGCCGCAGGGGCGCCCATAACGATTGGAACGGGGACCACCACCGTGCGCCAGATTCCAGTGAGCACAACTGTTGTATCCACCTCCCAGGCAGTAAGTCAGATGTTTTATGTGGGTTAAATTGGACTGGATTTTTTTTAAAATAAATTTTATTGCAAGAAAATATAATTACAAGGAAAGAAGGGGAATATTGTGTAGAAGATAGCAAAGCAGGAAATGAGAAAGATCAAAAGAAAACAAAAACTAAAAAAAGGAGACAAAACTGTGTCCATGATATAAAACAAAACAAAAAATAAAATAAAAATGTACTTCTAAGCTCTTCCCAACCTGGGTATCTCTTTCTTCTTATATCCTCATTATTTTAGACTTTTCCTCCTAAAGTCTTGTTAAATTATTAATCTTCTCTCTTTCTATATAGTCTCGAAATAGTTGCCAGTCTGTTTTTTTAATCGGCTTCCCATGATGACTCTTTAGAAGTTGGGTCAGTTCATCCATGTTCATTATTTCCATGATTTTCATTATCCATTGTTCCTTTGAAGGTACTTCTTTCTGTCTCCACATCTTCGCATATATTATTCTCGCTGCCGTCGTAAAGTAGTTGAGGAGCACTTCCTTATTATTCTCTATTTTTAGGTCTATGAAGTTCAATAGGAAATATTCTGGTTTCATTTGGAGTTTAATATTCAGAATTTTCTGTACTTCTTCATAAATAATTTTCCATTTTTTTTTGGCTTTGCCACACAACCACCACATGTGGTAGAAGCTTCCTTCTTGACATTTGCACTTCCAACAGTTATTGTTTAAATTTTTGTAGTATTTGCTTAATTTGGATGATGTAATATACCATCGGTACATCATTTTGAACCAATTTTCCTTTAGATCATATGAATTGGTTTGTTTCATTTTGTTATTCCAGATTTTTCCCACTCCTCTAGTGTAATTGATCTTCCAATATTGGTGGCCCATTTTATCATACAATCTTTGATCAAATCCCTCTGTCGACCACTCCAATAGTTTCTTAAATATTTTCACTGTTGTCTTGTTTTCCGATATCATTTTCTTTCTGAAAATCCAATTAATTTGTCTTTGTTATAATACTCCTTTAACTGTCTATATTGAAGCCAAGAATTATATTGTATTACATTATAATATTATAAATATTATATGTATATACAATATATTCTATTTTTCTGAAAACATGAAATGGTTACTATGAATCTCTAAGAATGGCTTCTCTTCTGCCACCTCAATGTTTGTTATTTCCTTTCTTTAAAAAGTTGTTTCTTTCCTTGGGCTCTTGACTGGGTTATTTTAAACTTACGGTTCCTTTACTTTACTTATTATTCAACTGAATATTCACTCCCTGATAAGCAATTTCCACCTCAGTCTTTCTGACATTAAATCCAAATTCCCACTTTTATTACTTCAGATTTGACACTGAAGACACAATAAAACGATTGTGAATCTCTTTCCTCTAGCACCCCGGCTAGATTATACTCCAAAGTTAATTACTCTTACTCTTAAAATACCAAGGCTGAAGATCAGACTGGTTATACTAAACCCCTGAGTCCTGCCCTTACATAGCTAGGACCAGTCCTTCCTTTTAGCACTCCGGCTAAAGACTTCAACCACTTTGGTTCAGCTTCCCAACAAACCCATCTTCCACTTTGGACTTCTTTTTTTCCTGTGCTCTCTCCTCCAGTGGCAGTGAGCTCCACTCCTTTTGCTTCTACCTGGAGGTCTATGTCGCTATGGCAACGCAGCCAAACAAGCGGCTGCATTTCAAACCAACCTGCCTGCATTATATATCACTCAATAAAACCTATTTTCTTAAAAACTACAATAAATTAAGTAATTCATTACAGGTGTCATCTGATTAGTCTTACCTTGGCTGCCATTTTGAATGGGTGCATTTTGAATGGGTGCATTTGTCCCTTTAATGGGGTATAGATTTTTTTTAAAATCATTCTGTGCAAAGAGAGATTCCTCAGCACTCTACACCTCTTGGGGGGGGGGGTGGTCTTTCTTTTCTCCATGAAATATATGGTAGAAAGACTGCTGCTAAATGTTTGTGACTTCTCCTGCTGATTCATTTTCCGTAGGGGAAGCTGCCTGCGCGGATCACGGTGCCCCTTTCGGTCCTAAATCAGCCAGTGAAAGGCAAGAGTGTTGTGACTGCGCCCATCATTAAGGGCAATCTTGGAGCCAAGTAAGTCATGCAGGAAGAACCTACCATTGGGCATCATTAGTGCTGTGTTTCTATTTACAAATGGATAACACCCCACCATTAGATTAATGGACATTTAATTTTGAAAGCTTCAGAACATTGCTCGCCAAAACTTATCTAATAGTGGATATTCCATAGTTCACCGGTGTTGCTTTTTATCTGGCTTCCTCTACAGCAGTGTTTCTCAACCTGGGGGTCAGGACTCCTGGGGGGGGGGATCGCGAGGGGGGTGTCAGAGGGGTCACCAAAGACCATTAGAAAACACAGTATTTTTTATTGGTCATAAGGGTTCTGTGTGGGAAGTTAGGCCCAATTTTATTGTTGGTGGTGTCCAAATGCTCTTTGGTTGTACTTGAACTTTAAATCCTTCTTAGAATTCTAATTAGAAGTAGAATTGGAGAACGCAATCCATGAATGTTATGTGTGTTCGAAGACTTTCAATGCTAGAATTACTGGGTTGCTGTAAGTTTTCCGAGCTGTATGGCTATGTTCCAGAAGCATTCTCTCCTGACATTTCACCCACATCTATGTCAGGCATCCTCAGATGTTTTAGGTCACAATAAATAATAAATAAAATAATAAATAAGTAGAGTACTCCCCCAGAGAAGCATCTGAACAATAATCAGTGCCACTATTGTCTTTTCTTTCTTTCTCTTTCTTTCACAGCATCAGTGGACTGGGTAGGAATATCATCCTCACCACAATGCCAGCTGGGACAAAGCTGATTGCCGGGAACAAGCCAGTGAGCTTCCTAACCGCACAGCAACTGCAGCAGTTGCAGCAACAAGGCCAGGCCACGCAGGTGAGGATGCATATTTCCCAGCTGCAGTTACTGCAGTTTGACCCTCGTATCTGTGGTGACGTTTATCCACAGATTTCCTCTCTGAGCATTTTCTATGTACTCCAGAGCAAATCTATGGGATTCTTGGGCTTGAGGTTACTCATCTCA